GTCAATTTCTATTAGTACAAATGAGTGAAGCTTGCAGAGTCCTGTGTTTTACTTCCCTTTTGCCAATACTGACAGTTTGACTTGGCAGCATGATATAATACATAAAAGTTTGCTTACTGTATGAGTAACCTTAAAAAATAATAGAATTCATGGTGATCAGTAGGGCACTACAGCTGGATGTAATCTACACAAGGTCAAGCAATGCAATGTAAAAGGTAGTGACTGACAGGATCTGGTAGTTGTTCATACAGATTGAAGTATTTATTATTCATATTTTCTATAAAACCTGAATTACTCTAGGTCTTGTAGTAATAAGACTAGAAAATACATATTTTCTTAATGTTTAAGGAGGAAGGTGTGGGATTCAACTCGGTTAACTTTACCAGCTCCAAGGTTACGTGTCTCATGCAAACATGGTGCTTTAGGCTTTGTCTGTATACAGTGAAGAAATATAGGCAGATTCAAAGCACTGCTCATCCCACCTGTCTCCCAACACATGCTTTAAGTTTCTTTTTTCTTTCACTGACATGAGAGGGATCCCTGGTCATCAGTCAACAGTAGACACTTAGTTTTTTACATTTAATTTAGCTGCATGATTCTTGTCCGTAACAAGTGACTTGAGTAAAGGTCAGAGACTTCAGTCATCTGTACAGCAGCCTAACAAAATGTCCTTGTGATTTTGAGCTAGACATTTGAGCAGGTGTTTTCAAAATCCGTAGTTCTTGTTAAATGTCTGGCTCATGTCCATCTTCTATCTCTCCTCTGGGAAACATTGCTTTGCAGCCTCTTAGATATATGTACAATTAATTAATAAAATGCAAAATAAAATAGTGCAGTATGATTGTTGTTTATTCAGCTTCAAGTGGAACCAAAATGTTTCTGGAGAAACAAAGAAAAGCCCAAGTAAAATTATTTATTGCACAAATACACAGCAGTTTCTTGAGACTAATATTTCATAGTGGGTAGGGAATTCTTACAGCAGTGTAATTTTCAATAAGTCATTTTCTTAGTCTTATGCCCTGCCTTTCTGGCATACCAATGAACATCAGGAGAGCTTATGAGTCTTTCAGGTTAGAGTTAACAATAAAACGAGTAATTTTCTCTCAGATGTGTTTAGTATACCAGTGTTAGTAGTCCCATGTCTGCTAGCCTCTGGACATTTTCTTTCCCAAGACCATCATCAAAACTAACTTGGATATGACTATGTTATGAGAAATATAATATCAGTAGGAAAACAAAACAACAAAAAAATTAAAATCTGACTGCTACACAGTATCCGGACTAGATTGTGTGAAGAATAAAGACACCAGCTCCCGTTTCAGCCTTATTCATAGTGCCAGCTTTTTTCCACCATATTCAAGAATTTTCCACTACTAGGCTACAGCAATTAAAATTTAATTACAGCATGAAATTCTCACTGATGGGGAGTCTGGATATCGGATTCTTCCCCCCTGAGTAACCTTTTGTCGAGGTTAGGGAACCCATCACAGTTTCCAATGACTGCAGAAGTGTACATGTATGGTCAAAACTATTCCTGCACAGGCTGCTTGAAAGGTACCCCAGCAGTTCTGATGACATGATTTCTTACCCTTCAAATTGCCCTTTTCCACTCTCATGCTTTTTTCTGCTACCACACTCATGCACTCACATAAACAGCCTGTATTCTTTTCCCACCACCTCTAATGTTGCTGATTTTACATCCTTATTCAGTATTTATAGTAAGGTTGTCCTAGTAATTTCTGCCTTGGTCTGTAGTGCCGATACCCCTGTTTATCCTGTTTCTTGGATTGCTCTCTAGTTAGTGTAGCCTCAAGTCAAGGTGAGCGTCTACATATGGCATTACTCTTTCTTTTGCAATTTGTTATGGCTGGTAACTTCTCACATTGTTATCTTTCTGTAGTTCATGTTTGATGATTTGCACACATAGCCAGAAGCCAACGTGGTGAAACTGCTGGTGGAAGCACCTTCTTCATCTGCTTGGTCTGAATGACCAGCGACAGCCTGTGTGGCTATGGACTATGAGGGAAACATCCCTCTTCACCTTTTGCTTTCTGCCTGTCCTTCCCTCTTAACGCTACCACAAAATACATGCACATGGTCCAGCATGTTCCTGCATCATCTGGCATGTCGCTCTGTATTTCTGGTCATTTCTTTGGCTGCCTTATGTGGTGGAATGCTCATTAACCCTTCTCTCCTGGACCAGACAATGGCCTGCTTTGTGGTGACTTTCTCCATTCTCTGGCCTCTGAGCCATGTGGAGAAGCTGCCCAGAAAGGGTCAGTTATTACATGCCAGCTGTCTTCCTGGAGATCATTCATCTTCCATTTCTCCAGATTACCTCTGTGACAGTGAAAACTGATTGAGTTGGAATGGGAATGAGTACATTAAGAGGATCTGAGACCTATGCCAGATTTTTTATGGGGAAGTTGCTCTTCCACCAGCCAGAAAACAAACAGAAGAGTTCAGAGATTGTGTACTCCACCCACCCAGCTGTAGTGGGTTGACTCTGGTTTTATGCCAGACACCCACCAAAGCATCTACATCCATCACTCCCCTCTGCAGCTGATCAAGAGGGAGAAAATATAACAAAGGGTTGAGATAAGGACAGAAGGAGATCACCCACCAAATAAAATCACAGGCTAAACAGATTCTAACTAGAGAGATTAATTGAATTTATTACTAACAAAATCAGAGCAGGATAATGAGAAGTAAAATAAAATGTTTAAAACAACTTTCCCCCACCCTCCATCCTCCACCTCAGTGGCACAGGGAGACAGAGAAGGGGGATTATGCCCAGTTCATTACAGGTTGTTTCTGCTGCTGCTCAGGGAAGAAAGGAGTCATTCCCCTGCTCCAACCTGGGGTTCCTCCCACAGGAGACAGTTCATCATCAATGGACAACATTTCTCTACAAACTGCTGCAGCACGAGTCACTCTTTCACGGGCTGCAGTCTTTCAAGGACAGGTTGCTCCAGCATGGGTCCCCCACAGAGTCACAAGTCCTATGAAGCCACTCCTCCATCATGGGTTCCTCTCTCCATAGGTTTGCAGATCCCTGCCTTCTCCAGCACAGACTCACACAGACTCACAGCTTCCTCTGAGACATCCACCTGCTCTGGTGTGAGCTCCTCCAGGCACTGCAGGTGGATCTCTGCATCCCCCTGGACATCCATGGGTGCAGGAGCACAGCTGCATCACCATGGGCTGCACCAGGGCCTGCAGGGGAACCTCAAGCCCTTCTTTTAATTCTTCCTGCATATGTTATCCCAGAGGCATTACCACTATTTCTGGATGGTGCAGACTTGGCCAGCAGTGGGTCCATCCTGGAGCCAGCTGACACTGACTCTGCCAAACATGGGGAAAGTTCTGGCAGCTTCTCACAGAAGCCACCCCTGTACCCCCCTGCTACTAAAACCTGGCCATGCAGACATCAGCTTAATTTAGGGTAACATTTTGAAGACAACCTGCCAGCATACAAGTTTGCCTATAGAAGTTTCCTTTTAATACAGAGATTAAAAGAATAAAATAAATACAAAGATAAAATAAATACTTTGTTGTCACAATGGATCTGTATCTTGTAGGTTTTCACAGTTATTTGCTAGGGAACAGCAAGAAGTGGAAAAGTGCTTTGTCTAGTCCCTAAAGTAATTGCTGCTACTGCTACCACTCATCTGTATGGAGTACCTTCCTTTTGGGCTTACACATGTGCTAGCAGGGTGTTGGAGGCTGTTTATTCCTGAGGCAAAAGAAGGGAAACCCAATCATAGGGCAAAATTCTAGACTAAGTAGAGTGACTGTATCACATTTCATCATCCATCTGATATCAGCTTACATTTCCTTGCCATCAGACCGTCATGTCACATTGCAGTCTGAGACAGCACCTGCAAACCAATCAAATAAAAATATAATGAGGAGGATTATAATTAAATTTCTCTATCTACAAAAACAAGGATCTCCTTCCACATACAGGTGGCTTTTGATACATCATAAGACATATCACCATGCTGTGTAATGAGAACTGTGCAGTAGTTTGGTGAAAAAAAGAGAATTTGCCCCCTGAGCCTCCTGAATTGCTTTTTATTGACGCTTTAGTAGGACAGTAGGTAATACTTAAGATAGAGGGATAAACCTTTGAGTTCAGTTTTGAACTAAATCCAGTTTTTAAATTACTGTAGGGATTTCTTTATTTTTGGCACAGTGCGCCTCTTCTGGAAATGACAATCCACAGCAAGCCAATCAGACTGCCACAATAACAGTGCTCTGCAAACGAGATTTCACTTTGGGTACAATATGAAGGGTGAGCAGAGATTGTCCTTTAAGCTGTCCTTGTAGGTAAAAACAGGCCCCATCAAATTCAGCTTAGACCAGGACTTCATCAAAGAGAGAGATTTAACAAATCATTTGGCAAATATATTTAGAAGACATAAAATATGACTTTCAGATCGCTTCATTATGTGTTATTTGTTTAAATGTACCCTGACTCAATTACAATTCTGTTTCTGTAAAATATTTTGCTTTCCATACAAATTGCTGAAAAGAATTTTCAAAATATCAGTGTGTGATAAGCGCTTAGTATTCGTAGGATCTTCTGAAAAGCCCATCTGCTATGCAAATTAATATCTAAGAGTAATTTCTGAATGGGGATTCATAAAGGCATGGTTCAGAAAAACAATTAGCATATGTTTACCTTTCAGTGATTTCTGTGAAATACAGACTTTTATTTGAATACTTTATACAATGAGGAATGATTTCCCAAGCTGAGGTTGTACTCATTACAACTAGTAATATCAATATATTGTTTGCTTATTAATGGATTTGAATTTTATTTGCTCATTCCTCCACCAGATTCAATATAGGGTGGTGGAAAACACATTAATTCATTTAATTATTCATGTTGTACATGGTTGTGTTATTCCCCACCCCGTGGGAGGAGGTGACTCTTTCTCAGTTGCTTTCAGGAGCACGTTTTCCCATCTGAGTCTTTCTGTCCTGTCCCCTAGTGCACCTGGTGGACATCTGGAATGTGATCGAAGCCTTGCGGGAGAACGCCCTAAACAACCTGGACCCCAGCATCGAACTGAACGTGGCTCGCCTGGAGGCTGTGATTTCAACCATCTTCTACCAGCTCAACAAACGGATGCCAACGACCCACCAGATCAACGTGGAGCAGTCCATCAGCTTGCTGCTCAACTTCCTGCTAGCCGCCTTTGATCCGTAAGTCTGCCTTTCCTCCCTCCTCTCCCAACTGCTGAAAGGATTTTACTTCCTCCAGAAATATCTCTTGAAATCAATTCAGCAGGCTCAATTCTGTCCCAAATAATGAGCATGTGAATAGTGCTAACTAGGGAGATAACCTAAATTAAGGGCCTCTGCTTTCCTTTCTTTCGAGCCAAATTCAGCACAACTGTGTTTTCATCCAGCTACTCAGACTTGTTCCAGTTTATATCAAAGAAGAATTATCTACAGAAACAAATTCACATGCGCTTCTAATTTGGCTTGTTGTTTATTGACACACCAGTGGCTGACACCACTGCAATGCCTCTGCAGCAGTGCCATGGGTTAATAGCTCATTATTTTGAAAGAGCTCATTTCCCTGCAAGTTGTTGCAGCTGTAAGCAATTCTTTTTTTCTGGCTCATGCCAGTGCAGCATGATTTTGAGACCATGACAGAAATAGGATTAAAGACCTGGAGGTCATGAAATTCATGTTGTTTATTACTGCATGGGATTCATATTATAAAAAGAACAAGTTTTAGATAGAGCAAACCACTTACATTAATGAGTATTCTGTGTATATCTATTGCAATTTCTGAATATATAGTTGGCAACCTGTACTGCAATATTTGCAGTCCTCAAAAATGAGTTATTGGAGAACAGCGGTTAAGTCTGACAGGTGCAGATGTTGTCACTTCATGGCTTATTTTTTGAAAATTCATCAGCAGAAAACACTGGCCATTAAACATTAAAATAAGGATGCCTCCCCTCTCTTTTCCCAGTCCTCTCTCTCACTGCCCTGGTACTGGGTGTCATTGAGCACCTCTCAGTGCCAGACCAGCCAGTGGCTCAGTCACCATGGCAACGGGGAGAAAAAGTAGGTGTTCCACATGAGAAGGCTGCACTCAACCTCTCCTCCTGCCCCTCTGAGAGGAAGAAAAGCCAATCCATTGTGAAATCATAGCATTCAGGAATGTTTTCCTCCCCTCAAGGGCAATAAAAGAAGGAACAGGCATTTTAATTCATAGCATTGTGGCTGTGACAAGCACACTAAAGGATGCTGGAAATGACCAGATGCATTTATTGCTGCATGCCACAAGTAAGCTGCTTCCTGACTGGCAAACATATGGAAAGACCCTGGTCTGTGGCAGCAAGACCTGTGATACTGTGCTTGTTTTGTAGCTGACTGGAAAGGGACAAAGATCTCAGCTACACAGCACAGCTATTTGCAGCATAATGGAGTAGAGGAATTCAGTCCTCTGGAGGGAATCAGAGAATGTTTTTCAGGGGGAAAGTTTTCCTTTGCTTGAAAACATCCTGTGTGCTGTGGTTTGTGATCTGTTTCTGAGCTCCCATCAGTCCCCCCCAGGGTAAGGAAGGTGTGACCTTCACTCTATTTGTCAAGCAGCAGCTCAGTCTGTTGTGCTGCCTCTGAGTGTAGTGCATGGGATGCACTTCCCAGAAGGGCAGAGACCCCCAAGGAATCCCTAGGAAGAGGGTCCCAGCTCTGAGGTCAGAGATAGGTACTAGCTGCCTATCATTCCATATTAAATACAGCAAACTTAGTAGATGAGGTTCATGTGCAACCTGAGATATGTAAGTTTCATGGAGAGAAGTGTCAGCTAGGTCTCTGTGTACTGTGGTGGAAGTCTAGAGACCTGTCACAAATAAAGGTATACCCATTAAACATCTGATTCTCAAAATGTGCCCTGCACTTTAGTATGACTTATATCATTGAAGTTTTGTGTTGGATATTGGTTTAACAACCACTGGTCAGTCAGGTTTCTTGGTTTCTGGGAAACAGAGGGAGGAAGGTGGCTCTACATGCCACAGGGACAGTGTGAGAGCTGCTTGAGTCTAACCGGAGCTGGTGTCTCTGCTTCCCGTGTTGCTCCTTTCTCTCCTCTCCAGAGCAGCAGAAAGGTCATTCTCTGCTGAAAGTTAGGAGTTGGTGGAAGGAGGAGCAAGGTCTTTTCTTGTGGTCTCACGTTCAGAGAGAAGCAATGCTTTGCATGCTATCCAGAGGGACTCAGCAAGCTGGAGAAGTGGGCCCATGGGAATCTCATGAGGTTCAGCAAGGCCAAGTGCAAGGTGCTCCAGGTCCAGAGAAGGTGGTGCAGTTTTTCATGTCCCATTTGGAATCCAAGGAAAGTGAAGAAATGGAGTCTGCAACCTAACATATATGAAAGGACCACAAGGGGCAAGTTATTTCATGTTTTAAAGTCTAATAAGCCTGCCACTGTCTCATTTATTTAGGTCTAGTTAATATATATGTTGCTCTTTGTGTACTGTACTGGCTGAAGGTCCTCCAAACTTTAAACAGAGCCTCTTCCTTCTTTGATTGCCTGCTGAAAACCTGGCAGGTTTCTCTGCCCTCTGGCAAGGAGTGTTTCCTTAGGCCTGCAATACAGATGTCTTCTTAGAAGTTAAAACTTGGCTAGCAAACCACAAAAGGAACCACAGTGTACTGCCATAGCATGTGGGCCAACTTAGCAACTGCTGGTGCTGAGCTTACATCCCGTTTTTTTGTGGGTTTTTTATGGCCTTGGGGATTCATTAGGCCCACAGATATTTCTCTGCTGCTCAACCCTGAAAGGAGGAAAAAGTGAGGAAAAATTATAGTGTATAGAATTTCATGTGAGACTGAATGGGATGTTCCTTCATGCTGCTAAAAGCAAACTAAAGTACAGCCTTATAAAACTGCCAACCAACAAATTCAGAATTCACAAACAGAAATACTTCACATAATTGTGTGGAAGTCAGCATCATCAGTGGTAGATGACCCTGACAGGCCAAAACCAGTGAGCAGAATGAGGTAGTCACACTTTAAAAAAATCTAGACAGAACATGCCTGATCTATGTTTTTAACCATATGTAAAATTAGGCAATAGCTTTTGCTTCAAGGCCTAAGGTGATTAACTGGCTTTATAAAACAATAGCACACTTCCTTCATTTCCTTACACCAAGTACTACGTAAAAAGTTGACGAGTACAAACCTCTCTGAATAATTCCTCCCAGGCTGGTGTCAAAGCCTAGGCAGCAGGGTGGAATGTCAGCCTCATTCAGTCAAGTTGTGCTCCGAAAAAATCACTTTAAACAGAGTGTGAAATATTCTGTGCTAGATCATCTCCAGTTATTCCTGCTGCAAAGTTTAACTGATAAGAAAATAGCTGGATTTTCTCTGTTCCTTGATGTGCACTGTCCTATGAATGGAGCTGTGGGCCCTGGGCTATGAAACAATCCCTGCCTAGCTCAGGGAGGGGGCTTGACTTCTACAGAGAAATGAGGAAATATTCGTGCCCTTGTTTAATCAAATGAACATTTGTATTGTACTGATTTTAGTACATAAAGATGATCAATACCCATTTTGGAAATACAACTTCTGCTCATTCATCTGTTCAGAGCAGTAAAGTGTTTAATTCCCTCTCTTCTCCACCTTTGCTACTTATTGAAAGCCACAGAGGCATTGACAAAGGAAGTCCAGCAAAAAAAAATGCATTTCAGAGATTTGAACGTTATGCATTTTGCTCTCCTACTTGAAAGAATCTTACTAAATGTCAATAAAATTTCATCTCTAAAACCTTGTTGTGAAAATGGGAATTTGTAGTTACAGCCTCTGACATTTCAGAATTGACTGCCTTGATTGCAGTGGGTAGTAACCAATAACTGAAAAACTTTTCTTACTTTTGCAAAAGGTATCTTAAAGTATTGGGGGAGCACCACTTAAACCTCATTAGTGAGAAAGATGGTATTTTCTCAATGTCCTTTTCATGGAGCACATTTGCTGTTTCTAAAGATGTGATGCTATTTCTTGATGGCTTTCCCCACCCTATGGCTGTCTCAGTATGGGTGTTGCTAGAGATCCTGACAAATGACTGTATCATTTATTTGGTACCGCTCTCCTTGGTGAGCCAATAGGCAAAATCAGGCCCTGGAGCTAGACTCAGCCTTGTATGGCCTGTGGATCTTGTCAGGCAGTCTGTGGGGTTTCCCTTCTCTGGTGTCTAAAAGCATGTATAATTTTTTGCCCCTTTTTTCCCAGCAGCAGGAGATAACCTTCAACTCTGGCCATTATTCCCTTTCCTAAATACTCCATCCTCTATTGTTAAGTGCACATCAGCTTCAAGGTTTGCTTTTAACATCATTTATGCTTCTTGCTGAAGAGTAACCTCAGTGAGAGGTGCAATATAAAATCAAAATATTTGCTGTCCTCTCCTGTTTCCACTAGTAAAATTTCTCTTTGCATTAGCCAGCCCAAAGCTGCTTTCAGGGAGCCCTGACTTCTCTCAAGATCTTCTTGCTATTATGAGCCACTGCTTCAGCATTTGCTTTTGCACAGCAAACCCTGTGAGGCCCCAGTGCTGCCACTCAGGGTCACCTTAGGTGCTTAGACACAGCTTAGGGGGCTTCTGGATATCCAAATGATATTGGCAAGTCTTAGGCCCCATTATCCTGTCTGTTCATCAGTCATATATATTTAAATAGCATGTGTGTACACACACACAGAGACATATATATTTGGAGGGCAAATTGGGTTTATACTGGCTTTTGTGATGTTTTAGGAATACAAATGACCGATAGAAAATACAGTGTCAAAACTAATCAACTCAAATGGAGAGATTGAAGAGATAAACATTCTCTTTTCTTTTTCTGTTCCTCTCTTCCATAACTGTGTGAGTATAGGAAAAGCCAGTGGCTGTAGGGTGGAAAGCTGAAGCCAAGTTGATATGTGTCTGCCATGCAAAAATATAATCCTATTAGTAAATGTAACTAAACCTCCTGGGAAAAATAATCTAAATCTGAAGCATTTCCACATTTTTTTAATCTCTAAATCTTCCATTGCTTCTTTATAATGCCATTGCTTCTACTTAGCTTTTTTTTTTTTAATGTAACAACTCCTTTAAAGGCAGATGGAAACCTCATGATGAAACAGTGCAGAAAAATTCCTAAGGGTCTAAAGGGCAGCATGCACAAAAAGAATATAAAAGGACCACATTCTCAGCCATAGCAGTGCTAAGTCTGGTTTACACAAATCAGAATTCAGTCAACGAAGAATGGAAGTACAGAAGCCTGGAAATTCCTATGCTGTGATTTTAATCTTATGAAGCCAGTCAAAGGGAACTCATGTAATGAAAAAGTGTGCACAAAAGTCCGCATTAAAGAACACAGCAAATATTTCTTTCTTAAATACTGACATAGTGAATTCATCACTTTTGACTTGTATTTCTAGTTGATTGTCAAAAGGCAGAATTTTAAATGAGTGAAAAGGATAATTAGAATTTATATTTAGAATTATGGGTTACACTGATGTAGAACTAAATCTAACTCAATGAACTTTAAAGATTATTAGCTAGTCAGGCTTAGGGAACTGACTCATTTTCTAAAGTCTGAGTGATTTAATGAACCTAGCAGTGAAGCATGTAGCATGCATCGATGTATGGATGTGAGTATACCATTCATGTGTGTCTTACATGTATATGTTACTGCACTAGTCTGGTTTGGGATTAGCAGAGAAAGAGGCACAGTCACAGGCTCCATGTCGTTCCAGAATCAGTTCATCTTTTAGTTCTGATCAGATGCAATTTTCTTCCTTAAAATTGTGAGTGAAAATGAACAGAGTAGTTTTAGAAATATTGATTATCTAAATTTCTATGTACTACTATTCCCAGTGCAGTTAGACCATCTTACATAGGACCTGATTATATACATGAAACAGGAAATCCCTTATAAACATTGTGTTCCTTGGTAGACTGAAAATCACAGAAACGCAATTTCCAAAAACTTGCACAAAACTTCATTATCTAGCCACATCATGAATCCTGTCAGAATTTAAAAGGAAGTGTGGTTGCCATTTTGCTGATCTCACAAATATTGGTTGTCTCTTTTTTTAAAGCATGATGACATGTCCTCACTGATGTCATTAATTAATATCATTCATTCATGTGGGAAGCTGTGAAGTAATGCCAAGCAATTGGGGTGATGGATAGAACTTGCTCCTGTGCAGCTCTGGACTCCTGCGTCGTTACACTAAGATTCAGAAAATTCCAAGAAAAACCGCATTTCATCATTTGGATGTCAAGAGATTAACATTAAGAAGCAGATGAACTTAGGAGAGCGTGTTCATTCTCATTGTTGGAAAGGGGCTGAACCCTAAACTGGCTGATAGGTGTTTTAGGGACTCAGTGTGCCATGCAGTGTGTGAGGTCATGTTTTACTTACGCAGCTCAAAAAAACCCAAGTTTTCTGTGATGGCAGATGATCACTGGGAACCATCATGGCTGTAAAAGGAGAGTGAGGATAGTGAGAGGAAATAATAAAGTTAAGCCATTGCATGCTTCAAGACAGCTGGGGAGAGTTGGCAATGTGACTTTTTGCCCCAGGACAAACTCTTGGGTGAATTTGGGGTTTATTAGCATTTATGCATTGTAAATTGGAAGTAGAGAGCCAGGTACAGCCTCCCCTTGAATAAACCAGGGACAAAACTCTTCTCCATATCACAACATATGTCCTTCACTCATTCTGGATGCAGGCATATTCCCCATTTTTCAGCAAAGTCCTTCTTCAAGGTTCCTGGGGGTCAGGTGTATCATTTCAAAGGCAATTGTCAGGACCTACTGACAGGTACAGATAAAGTTTGTGCGATGATGTGAGCCATGTGTGCTTTTTCACTTTTGTTCCCTGTGCTGATTTTTTCACTTCCTTGAAATCTTCTCGGTCCAAGAAATTCCCAAAGCACTTAGGATAGGGAAACTATGAGTGTCATAGGTGTCTCCCAGTGCTGCTGTATCACAAATAGCAGTAACAATTATCACTGTAGTGTATAATGCAATAAACAGTTTAATACTGAGCTTCATATACATAATAAATCTGCTCTGAGATCTTCACAGAGCAGTGTACTGATGTGTGTTCCCACAAAATAAACTTTCTTTTTTAAAGAACTTATTTTTCTGTATGTCAATCCGCATATATTGTGCATTACAGTAAGTGATATCAGAAATCTGCATTTTAATTGAACAGATTCTCATAAAATGGACATGTAAAATATGTCTACTTTCTACTTTTGAACAGGGAAGGACATGGTAAAATTTCCGTTTTTGCTGTCAAAATGGCCTTGGCAACTCTTTGTGGAGGAAAAATCATGGACAAATTAAGATGTAAGTTATATCTTTTACCTGTTAAAAGTTATTATTGTTGAAGAAATAGAAGTACAAGTAGAAAAGAGGGAATTAGGATAAACTACAGTTTCTTGCCTGCGTTTGGGAGTTGCCCTATGTGTATCTCTAAGTAAATCCTACTAAATGTTTGGTTGAACTTCACACTGAGGTTTTTAAAGACAAATCAAATACAATGAGGTTCTTTTTGGTGGATTTTCTTTTTCCATTGGGATTATTGAGTTCTGAATACAAATAAGTGCCTCAACATTATAAAGCATAATTTAACAATTTCTTCTGATTATTTTTAGTAATGCCTATGTCTTTTCACACATAGAAGACCAATATATTTATATACTGTTTGTATTTTCTTCCATAGGGCATTCTTATGCCATGTATTTTGATGAACAGGTAGTCATTTCATAGGATTTATTCCCAGTTCCCAATAGCAAAGGCATCATTTACTTGCAGCTGCAATGGAAGACTTTCTGTTTAATGAAATGATGTCTGTAGCTCAGGTCCAGAATACCATTTTCCAGACTTTTGACCAGAAACTTACATTTCTGCTGAGCCTTCTACCTGAGCCCAAGAAAACTGAGTTTACACATTACAGTTGTTTAGAGTAGACAAGTAGAAATCCCAGGTGCTGATTCAGTCTTCCAAATCTGGTGCCATTTTCTAATGTATTATTTCTATGTAGAAACTCAAATACAGACTGAACTAAAGTTATAAATTATAAATTGAACACCATTTCTTCCCTCAGCTGCTGTAAGAATAGGAACTGGATCCATCCAGTGGAGGGCTGAAGTACAGTGATGATTTTTTGGGTCAGCAGTCCCAGAGTCCTGTTGTCAGAATTTCTCTTCCAAGTTCCTGGAAATGAAGCAGCTGACATGACAGCCTGAAAAACAATAAATGTTCCTTAGTCAGAGATCTCCTGCTAAGCAGAGAATAATTTTAAACAAACGGAGAAGTAAGGGCTGACAAACTGTCATCACTGCAATAATAAAAGTGTGATATTTTTATACATAAGAAAGAGGGAAGAGTGAAAAATAATGCATTGGCAAGACCTTCATTGCTTTGTGTGTCCTGTCCAAGACAATAATAACTGACTTAATGAACCCATTGTCAAGACTTGGATTTGACATGGTAGACTGGCAATAGGCAAAAAGCTGAGGTAGCGTATCTTGTCAAATCAGAGCCTTCTTATCTGATTAAATTACTGCCTCATGCCATGCATCAGACTTTGCTTAAAAATGACCACACACAAACAAAAACAAATAAGGAATATTTTAGTATTAAAATCAGCTAGTTCTTAATATGCAAATCATTCTTGTTTTCCATTGAAAGAGGTCAGAAATAAAGATGCAGTAGTTAACGGAGGTTTCTATAAGCCAAACATGTTTACTACTTCTCTTCCAAATCAGATGAACTCAGAGCAAATGTGTAGCTCACACTGAAGCTGCTGTGATCTTTCCTTCTCTTTTCCCCCCTCAGATATTTTCTCCATGATTTCTGACTCCAGCGGGGTGATGGTTTATGGCAGGTACGACATGTTTCTGCGCGAGGTTCTCAAGCTGCCCACCGCTGTCTTCGAGGGGCCTTCATTCGGTTACACTGAGCAGTCGGCAAAATCCTGTTTCTCACAACAGGTAAATGAAGAGACACAGGGTCTCAATCACCCCTCTGAGCAGGCCAAGATTCTTCCTGTCTTACACATAGGTGCATATTTGCCCAGGAAACACAGGACTGGATGAGGGGAAGGTCCACTCCACTGACTTCTGGTGTGTAGGTTTGTTGCCTTCAACAGGAAGTTGGTCTCTGTAGATTCCCCATATAACCATGAAGAGAGAGGGTTAGCAAAAAGTGATTCAGAGCAGGATCTTGTCTTACACATCCCTAAATTAGGGAACTTCCTAATTTAAGCACCAGTCACATGTATACCTTTAGATATTCTATATATTTATACCCCAAGGCATGCAGTCCTCCACTCCACTTAGTTGGTGTTGGTATAAGAATACAGAAGACTAATTTCTGCATACAAACCTCAAGTTCCATCAAAAGAAGAAATCAAACTTCAGGTTTTCCCAGTGATAGACACACAAGTTTAGAAGTGAGAAGAAAATCACCTTAAAAATTTTTTTGTAAATGGGAATCAGTATGTATTAGAAAATCCTTAGTCTCTTACCAATAACACCAGTGAAATAGGGTCAGGAAAGCCATTAATTTATCCTGAAGAAAATACAAGATTTTTCTGCAGCTCAAGAGACTCCATAGGTACACTGAGTACAGCACATGAGCTTCAGCTAATACATAGCACTTCAGAAGATTCCGTAATTGTGGCTGGTTGTCCACTTCTCCTGTGGAGAAAGAATTCCTCTGGCTCTTGCCACACATCACACTGTATAATTCCATAAATATGTAGTTAGGGAATATGCTGGAACTGGGACAATGTTAGAAATAAAGTTGTATTTTCCTTCTCTTTGTCCTTTCATTTGCTAACTGAATACTGCTGAGCAAGTAAGTTCAATGGAGCAGGAATGGTGTAATTTTCATGCAAAATAGAGTCTCATTTTTTGTATTCTCTCAGTTTCATCACTAATCAATAGGCACTCCAGTCAACCGAAAGGAGATGTTGAAATTCATTTATTGAGTCATCTCCCAATTCATTTTAAATGGTAATGTTTGCGTATGTGAAACTGGTCTTGTTTCACAGAGGGAGACTTAGAACAGTGCTTCATCTAATGTTGAAGAATTTACATGTTGAAGTGACTTCTGGTAGTTTTGTGTTAAAATAATGAAAGAATGCTCTTTCATGGCAACAGGGCATTCGAGCTTTGCATGTTACACATGCTATTATTATAGATGAAAAAAGGAATTTATTTTCCTGAAAAAGTGTTATTCAGTCCTCATTTTTTATCTCGGTAGCCATCAGAAATGGCTCTTGCTTTGAGATTTCATCCAGCTGAGTGGACCAGATGCATTAAAGTACCTTTAGAAACAGCATCTTCAAGCAGGCATTAGATGGTTTTGTTTACAAGCTCCACTTAGAGCTAACAAGAGTTAAGTCTCTGACTGATGTAGGTACACAGCAGGTTTACAAAGCTGCTATTTTGCATCTGGAGGCAGCCAAGTACTCTTGTAAGTCTAGTCTAATATTTCACTTTAAATGACTTCATGTAGCTCTCATTACATCCTCACCAGGGATGAACCAGAGTTTTGAAATGGAATTGAGATCTTTATGACGCCATGATAAATGGTATTTTCTGTCTTAGTCACACACAAGTCATTCTTTCTCTGTCTTGTATTGCATGTAGCATTATCAGAAATTGATAGCTTGGAATAAGTTTGGCACTCTCACTCATTCTCACAATGGGTCACTTTTGCTTACCAGAAGCCTTTCAACCCCCTGATATCTAGAGATTCTTCAATTTCAGGGGAATAAAAAAGTCTGAGAATTATCTGGTCATGGTGTCAAATCCATTCAGTTTACATCTGAAAGGATTTTTCCTTTTGCAGAAATGTTTTATTATTCCCAATTCTACTGGTTTGCTTGATCCCACCACGTATTTTCCTCTGCCTGTGAGCTACTGCTAGATTGAATGTCTATTCAAAGTAGAAACAACAGTGTTTCCTCATCAGCAAATTTGTGGGATAGAAATGCTACAGCAAGTGACTTAATGTTTCAGAATACGCAAATTTGTGGCTCAAAAGGAGTTTTATGATCACCGCTTTCCCCCATAGGTAGGATTGATCTGATGTTATACTGTATTTGTACTAAACAGTATTGTTATTATTGTAGAAAACACTTTTAAAAAAATCCCAAACGAAAAAGATAGACACTAACTTCATTTTCTTAGCACTTGTCTAAGTGTTATTCCACAAACCTAGACTCCATCTGTGTGTAGTGTATATTTAGAAAACAGCTTTTGGTTTAAACTTTCCCAGCAGCTGAAAGAAAATTGCAGGAGGAAAATGTATGGAAATGGCTCTGACGGTGTCCTTTTAAGGGACACTGCTTTTTTCTCTAATCCATAAAATCAATGATCACCAGAGCAGTTTGGCAATAAAGCTGTCATTGAAGCTAAGTTGCCTTTTTTGGTGCCAATAAGATTTTAAAGTTATAGCAGCTTTCAAAAGCCCACTGCATTGTGGAAGAGCTTTTCTTGTCTCCTTATCTATTTGCTCTAATAAACTGGTTGGTTGTGTGTATCCCTTCAAGAGCAGAGGGAAGATTTAAGGCTACTCAGGTCTGCAGTATGGAGCACTGGAGGTCCCTTCTTTTCCTGGGCTTCCTTCCACCTTTTTTTCCCCTGTGCCCTCAAGTTCTGCTGCAGACAACACAGACATTTGCTGGCAGCATTGGTCAGCAAAGCTATGTCGACCATCTACAGCAGAAAAAGAAATTCACATCTCCAAAAGAAAGATTCTTGTCTCTGAGCTGATGCTTACAGCATAGGATGCCTGTTTGGGAAGCGGTTATCTGCTCTCCATGCCTGGGAAGATTATTCAGACAACAAGCAGGTGGTAGTGTTTGACTGGACTTTCACACTGCAGTTATCATGGGCAAAGGTAGTATTCCAATGAGATTTAGAGCTCATATTCTGGCTATTTCTGTTCATTAACAAATCAAGCCCATTTTCACAGTAGCCTGAGGTATTTTCTGCTATGGACAAACATTGTTATATCTTTCCAAATATCATGCAGTGTTTCATCCCTGAGAGTGTTGCAGTGTGAGATGTTTTCCATTGATCACTCAGTGTATAAGAGAAATAATGTTTTTATTTAAATCTGGTGGTAATTGTGTATAAATGGAGCATAGATACTCCATCTGGAAATCTCAGCTCTGAAAAGAATTCCACAACATGCAGAGATGATACGTGTCACTGCATAAGTGCTGCTTAGCTTCCTCATGGGGTAACCAGAGTTCTTTAGCAAGTTAAAGCAGCAGCTTATGCAATCAGATATGAAAATTTAGCCATCCCTTTGGATATGGGGATACTACTTAAATATGTATGTCTATAAAATATATCTACATATATTCTCAGCAGGGCTCGATATTTTTGCATCTTAAATTTTATTTAAGGAAGGCTCAGTTGCTGATTGAAAAAACAAATGAACTAAGATTTGTGATTACTTTTTCCAGACACCTAAGAAATTTAAGGTCCTAAATTGCATATTTGAAATCAACAGGGATATTTTAGAGTTTAAATCACTTTGAAATTTAAAGGGGCATAGATCTCTGTGTGCTTAGAGTCATGAAGAGTTTAGGAGCAGTTGCAGTCCCTGAGCATATGCAATCTTGACATCCCACAATCAGAGCTCACCCATAACTAGTTGCCATTGCTCCTTAGACAAGCAAAGTTTCTCTAAATTATGGTAACAAATTGCCTGTCCTTTTTATTCTATATTTCTTTCAAATTTGTACTCCCTTGCCAGTATTTTCTCTCATTTTCTTTTTTTGAGTACCGTCAGCAGTGACTTTTCATTCGAAAATTGGTCATACACAGTGATAGCCCACATGCACTTGTGCTTGTCACACAATACTCAAAACAGATGAGAACATGCAGAGTTGAACACCACCCTTAACCACAAAGCATCTTCAGGCAGTGAATCTAGAAGAGAGTTTGGAAGTGAGTGGGAGCTAAGTGTCTCCAACCCAGCCTTGTGAGAATGACTTCTAGTCATCAGTTGTATCATTGTACCAACTAAAAATAGTCTGGAAAAGCTTTGCTAGTATCACTTGCTCTTTTTAGTAAATCAGGGCTACAGGCAAACAGTGTTTGAAACTTATTCCCAAGTGTTTCTGTAGATACAAGATAAAATAATTTTGAGATGTCTAATTACTGATATTTTTTTTGTGCATGTTTGTTTGCTTGTTTGAGCAGAAAAAAGTCACATTAAACACTTTCTTGGATACTCTCATGTCTGATCCCCCGCCACAGTGTCTAGTGTGGTTACCACTTCTGCATCGACTGGCAAATGTTGAAAATGGTAAGTAAAGAGGCGCTGCCAAAGCACAGTTACAAGAATAAACTTTGGTGTGACGATTTTCACACTCTGTAGATGGTTTTGTAAAAACTACTTTACTGGGTTCATTGACTCCATGTGCTATTTTTACAGTGACTGGTAAAATATTTGAAGAAGTCTGTTGGTCATTCAGCCAGGAACGTGGCTTAAATTTTGCTGTGCTCAGGAAGTTAACCTGATCATGTCTCCTCCTGTGCTCTGGATAAGCAAAGAGCAATAGGACTTCATCCATTCACACACTTATATTTGGTAAACTATCAAGACCACAACTTTTATTAGCTCTGACATATGGCAGCAGAGGGAGCAGCTTGGCAGTTTCCGTTCATGCAGTGTTCCTGGCAGGAGATGTCAGTGCAGTGCAAAACACCAGCCAAAAGGTCCCTAGGAAGGATCTACTCCTAAGTCTACACTGCCTGACCATATCCTCTGAAAAGGAAGTTCCCTATGGATGGTGTGCATCCATTTTTGGTGATAAGGAGAAAAGGAGGAAAAGTTGTATATGTTCTTGTGCCAAACAAATCCCTCTTCCACTGAAAGGCACCAAGGTGGGTAAGCTGATGTTCCCAAGTCCTTTTTGGCTACAGAGCAAGCTATCTATCCCACCTTCCTCAAGCTCTTGTCATCCATTCCTGTCCCTCACCAGCTTCACAGTGTTTCTTAGCCTAGAGCAGAAACCCTTCCTGCTGCAAAACTCTGGCAAAGAGTTAAACCCCTGACACATTCAGCACTGATCCAGATTTTCCCAGACTGAGCCTTATGAAAGAAAGGCAGAGTGTGCCTGGGAACAAGGGTATGTTCAGTACCCTGTGGTAAATTTGGTACATGCTGTAGTGAGGAAAGAGGAACAGAAATAGCAGTATTGCCCAGAAGGTGCTTCCAAATACCTCACTTGGTGCTTTAGCGTCCTCAGTGACTTGCCTCCTTGTCACTGTCTGCTTCTGAATAGAGAACAGGTTCCTCCAAAAGCCAGCTTTATAAATCTGGGCATCCAAAGCTATGTGTTGAACCCCATATATAGGTACCTAAATGACACTACTTGTGCAGATGAGACAGCAGTATTTAAGAGACAATAACATGTCTAAGTACACTTTCATCCTTTCAGTAGTCATGTAGCTAAGTTTGACTTTTCCTCCAAGGTGCCTCACTTCAGCTGCTTAAAGCACAACAAAACATTCACCTTCTCCCAATGGTGCAGCTGCAGTGGATTTTCCCACATACAAATTTCCTTTGTCATAGAATGGTGTGGATTGAAAGGGACCTTAGAGATCATGCAATTCCAACTCCATGGCAGGGACATCTTCCATTAGACCAGGTTGCTCAAATCCCCATCCAGTCTGGCTTTTAACACTTCCAGGGATGGGTCATCCACGACTTATTCAGACAATGCAATTCAGTGCCTCATCATCCTCACTGTAGAGATTTTCTTGCTAATACCTAATCTAAACCTGCCTTCTTTCAGTGGACCCATTCCCCCTTGTCCTATGCCTACATGCCCTTGGCAAAAGTCCCTCTCCAGCTCTCCTGTATCCCCTTTAGGTACTGGAAGGCTGCTCTAAGGACTCCCTGGAGCTTTCTCTTCTCCAGGCTGAACAACTCTCTCAGCCTGTCTTCATAGGAGAGCCCTTTTCTTCATGGCCCTTCTCTGTACTCTGTCATGTATTCTGTTAGACACTGAACACACATGTTTTTTCTGCTGTGAGCAGGAGGCATGGTTACCAGCTCAGAAGTGAAGAAGGGTTTGGTGCCCAGTGTAGGAAGTGTTGCCCGTGGCTTAGCACAGGTTGCTGTATTTTCTCAGGTCAGAGCTGTCAACAGCATCCAACGCTGCAGATTGCTTTAAACAAAGAAGGGAACACCCTTCAGTTTGGGGTTTGTCCATAAACTTTTTCTGGGTGTTTCTTTGTTTTGTTTTTTGGCTCACCATTTCTTTCTCCCTCACAGTCTTCCACCCCGTCGAGTGTTCCTACTGCCACAGCGAGAGCATGATGGGGTTTCGCTACCGCTGCCAGCAGTGTCACAATTACCAGCTCTGTCAGGACTGCTTCTGGAGGGGCCATGCCAGCGGTTCCCACAGCAACCAGCACCAAATGAAAGAGTACACGTCATGGGTAAGGGAAGGCTCCTGCCTCGCTGCAGTCTGCTTTGCCCTCCAGCCATCAGAGAAGCCCCAGCTCTGGGCAGCTGTCTAGCTCAGGCAAGCTGGGAGCCGGGCTGGCACTTTGGATTAGTGACCCTGTCTGGGAGGCTCTGGCCTTGGGAGCCGTCAGGAGAGCGTGGAGGTGGGAATGGTCTTTTCTGGGTGAGGATCTGGGGCGCCTATGACGGTGCGTGCCGCGGTGAGGGCAGCGCAGGAGGGGCTGGCAGCAGGGCACCAGGCTCATGGCAGCTTCTCCCGTTCCCACAGGACTCACGGTAAAATCGTCATTGGCTTGCTCTGTTTGGCTACGTGTAAATGAAATGATGAATACTTAATGCTCATTCATCAATATTTTCAGTTGAGTGGCTGCAGCATATGCGTAGCATTTGGGATGATCCTGGCACTGTAGATTTGAGCGTGGTCACAGGCTTAGATCCACAGTAGCATTTACTATAGAGCAAAGCTCACTTCAGTCTTTTTGTTGTTAATCAAAATAATGCAGTATTTTTGCTAAGCTGAAAGGGAGGTATCAACAGCTGCTGGAACCTTAACCTTCCCTGAAGGGCATGAGACCTGGGGACTCATCTTTCCATGAACTGGAGCAAAGTCCCCTTGTTTACAGAACATCAAAATCCTTCAGGATTCAAACATAAATAGCAGAAAATACATAATTAATCTCGAACATTTCAAAAGTATATTGTTAAAAAAAAGAAAATTATGCATACAGCAAAAGCTCCTATTTTTATGGTACTTTGCTTTTATTATTTAACAAAGTTCTGAATTTTAATACTTTTAAAATGTTTGGTTTTCTGTTGATGGAACAGGCAAGGGTTAAATGGGACGTGGTTTTCTCTGTATGCCAGTCATACAGCCCTGCACTGTATCCCAGCAGACCTGGGTCTGTAATTGTTTTTGTGGGTCCTAATTGCTGCTTGTTGCATAGACACAAATGGCCAGAGTTTAGTATCTGAATAGGAAAAGTGCCCACTATATAGCTCAGACTCCATTCCTAGCAGCAATTTATGCTATAAAATCCATTTTTTGCCGTAGCCAGGGAGCTATAATTATAGGTAGCAAGTAATTGGAAAACTTAGGATTTCTGCTCAGCGGAAGACAAAAATGTGATCACATGCCTAGTGCTTTCAGATGTTTCCTTGCCAGAAACAAATGTTTTGCTTCAAGTTTGAAGTTGCCTTTCTGTAACATGCATTAGCATTTGTTCAAACCTGGTTAGCATTCTCCATAATGCATCAGTATCGAGCTCCACATGCAGATTGGAAATGTTTATGGGTGCAATGGAAATCAACTGTTCTCAATTCAGAGTGAAATTGCATTTGTAATGAAAAAGAGCTTGAACTTTATGAATTTAGGTTGGATTTCTCTAGTAAAAATATTTCAGTATAGACTTGGTGACAATCATATGTCAATACAGGATGTATATGCACAAATACAAAACCCTTTCTGTCAAATTCCAAAAAGGTTTTTCAATTTGAGCCTGTAGAGCTGTGTTTTGGGGAGAGGAGATAGTGTAAGGATCACTAACCCTTTTTTGCTGACAGAGAACTGAATCACAGAGAGCTGAGTTGAATTCCCTGAGAATCCTTCACACAGCCTAAAAGACACCCTGGATCTCAGAGATCCTTTAGAAGGGAAGTTTAGTTTACTCTTCAAGTGCATAGTCTCCAAACAAAACAGAAAGCAGAAAATACTGGGTTTTTTTGTTTTTTGGTTTTTTTTACACACTGAGGAAAATTACGCAGACGCTCCCTATCTTTTGGGGACAGAGACAGTACATCAGTCTCTTTTGAAGTGCTGTTGCCACAGTGGGACAATTCCTGGCAAGCCCCTGTCTCAAATTTCTATTCTCCAGTGGTGAGTGGCCACAGGAGGTGGAAGAGAAGCTTTGTAATAGCAGCTAAACAATACAGGGTACTGGAGGTGAGGAGGGATATAGTAGTGAGGGGGAAGAACAAAGCAGCCTAGTGCCTGGCCCATATCTAGGAGGGAAATTATGTCCCATACAGTGTATCTATAGAGACAGGCATGCTTGGATCTGTTCTCCTTGCATTCTCAAACTGGTGAGGTACCAGCCTGCACCAGTCCAAGTGACACAAACTGTGCTGTTCCTTGTTCAACAATGCCTGAGTGCAGCATTGTGAAAAAGCCATGGCAACTTTCCCTATAGCTACACCCCCAGCCTGCTCTAGAGGCTGCTAGAGGTAACAGTAATTCTTTCCCAAACGGAGCCCTCTTTGCCTTACCAGACTCTGGGCATGGGAGGGGGGCAAGGGGGATGTCAGTCCATAGGTGTGTGAGCTGTTAGAGCTTCCTGTTGTTTTGTGCTTCCTATAGCAGAAACAGTATGCACCTTGTCCAGATTACCTCTACCTTCCTTGTTCCTCCCAGAAATCACCTGCTAAGAAGCTAACTAATGCACTTAGCAAGTCTTTAAGCTGTGCTTCCAGCCGTGAACCTTTGCACCCAATGTTCCCTGACCAGCCTGAAAAACCTCTAAACCTGGCTCATATTGTGTAAGTATCTGTGTGCTGTAGACAAAGTAAGCTTTGTTGTAAGAGTTGCTTGCACCAAGTGTAGATACTACAGCTCTGAACAAAGCAGGAGGCAGATGTGGCTTGTCCAGCTCAATGCATCACAAGTGCAAATTTGCTGGTGGGGATATTTAGTGTAAAAGTGTTCTTCTGGTGTGACTTCACCTGTAAATATCAATGGTATATATACATACAGTCATGTACTGGGACACAACATTGTAATGTCCCCATTCTCCTCAAGAGATGTTCATGCAATTTTATGGAGTTTCATCACTTTGGGATGTATTGATGCTGAGAACATCACTTCTGTCATTAGAGACTATTAACTTGAGTGTATCACAGGTATGCCTTGACACAGGGCACCAGAGAAAAATGAAATCAGACCAATTTTGTAAAAAAAGTTGTCACAGTTCTCACTGACTTTTGTGGAGCTGTGGCTTCACCCAGCCTTGAAGAATTGTGTTAGTCTGCATAAAAAGTGGGCCTTCAACTGCCAAGTCACTTGAAAAGAGTCTATTACCCTTATGTTTTGATATGTTGAGAAAGCAAGATTATTTTTGGTATAACAGCATGTCACTACTTTTTTTCTGCGTGAGTCAAGAAACACAAATCAGAAAGAAAAAGTATTTGTGCAGAGTGAGGAAAGTACCACTTTGGATGGGCTTTTTTCTAAAGCATGTCCACTACCCATAGTGGCAGACACTCCAATTTTCTAATTTATCAATCTGGCTTCCCTTTGCTTCTTGGGTCCTTGAAAATAAGGGGAAAAACCATTAAATTTCCCATAAAATTAAGAAAAAAATAAGACATTGGTTGGAAGAAAGGTACAAAGAAATTAAGTTGGAAAAAATATTCCAAAAATACTGCCTTTAAAGTATTTCTCTTATTCTGGTATATTTTTTAAGAAAATATCTTTCTTAACCATGTTCCCAGGGCTTCTGACTGAAGTATTTTGGGCAGCAGCTATTAGAATTGTATTTCCATGCTGCATATCTATGTTACTGGCTGCTGGAACTGCTCTAGTGTGTAATTATTATACCTTTGTCTATCCTGAGTGTTTGTATGTAGCATCTGCAAGGGCAAGTGCCCTCCAGCCATTGTGGGCTGTGCAACACCTGGAAAGTTCACCCAACGTGCCTGGCATTTTAAGGATGAGTTATGCTGATGGTCTTCCTTATATGGTTATAGCACAACTTCTTCAAGGTGTTAGAGAGTGCTCTGGTCTTCAGAGACAAGGTGCCTCTGACAGATACATAGTGCCAAATCTCTGTCACAATTGTCAGTTAAAACCCCTGCCCCTGTTTATGGAACAGAACTGGGAGGATGTTGTTCTTTGGCAGAAATGATCCGGAGTTGGATCTGCTGAGCTCCCTCACTGCTGTGCCTGGCCCTGCTGGCAAGTCAGTGATAATTTCACAGGGCAGATTTTGGCCGTCCTTAAGGGAAATGGAGAGACAAGACAGAGAGCTTGAAACTGAAAGAGAAGTCTCTGTTCCCTGTTGGCAGGGGGATCTTGAAGGCTGGGGATATGTCAGAATATAAAAGGTAGTGAAAACTGGGCTACTGTGAATGGATTAAATGCATTTAGGCAAGGCAAGGGAAAGGTACCATAATTAAGTAGGAACTGATCCAAATTTTCACTGTGAAATTAACACCTTCCCTTATTCCTAAATATACAGACAATTTAGAGTGATGGGATGTGAGAACAAACCACCATCTATTCTGGTTTATGACAGTTTCTCTTTATTCATAGATTGATGGTAATATAACTTGGCAATATATATTGGCTACACGGATGCATGAGTGAGAAACCTGTAAGTTGTGGAGGTATCATGATGTACAGCATAATTGACACAAATTAACTGAGGGGAGAGGTATGCTACAGAACCTTGTCAAGAATATCTTCTCACTGATGCAGTTTTTATTTTTAAACATAATGGAAGTTGAGAAAAACAGCTCTGGGCAGGAATCCAGGCAAAAAAGGGGATTTATATTTGCATTAGATGGAAGAATTTTGGCAACAAAACAGTATCCTTTTCTTAGCTTCTAGCTTAAATGGGGACAAGTGCTCCCTGCATTACTATAGAGACTTTCCTTTTGTTTGTTCTTCCACCTTTGCCTGGCACCAGACAAAAAGACTGCATGGCTTTTTTGTTTTACTGGTGCCACACAAAATTTTGAATTAAGCAAGAAACACATCTAAAGCCTCATCTGCAGAAGTAGTTATCAACGTGTCATAAACCTGATGGTAGAACTCCTCCCACTGATGAAAGGGTCATTTTTCCTCTCTGTACATAAGAATAGCAACATGAAAGAAAGTCCAGACAGCAGAGATGACAAATGGCATAGCCGTGGAGGTATTTTTCAAATCTATTCTGTGCTGGCCTGACTTCATTTCCATCTTAAGCCTGTGAGAGCATTATTTTTGACATCAGTGTAAACAGGTTGGAGCAGCCTGGAGCACTTTGGAAAATTCCTCCTATTTAATTTGGTTTATTACTATGGATATATGTTGTGCCATAGCATGCTTTTATTACATAGCATATTTCAATGGCATCAAGTGTTTTCTGTCTCCTTGAGGACACTTAATTCAGAATCACTTTTATCAGCTTAATCACACACTTTGAGGAGTTTAAAAATAACCTCAGAAAGGTATAATTTATAGTCAATAGCTGAGTTTTCCTTTGCTTTGCAATGTCTGTTGTTCTGTCTTACCACATCACACAACTCTGTGTGTTTGAACATCCATTTGATAGTCAAGTGGAACCTGAGGACCGTGACAATGGGCATTAGCCTTTCCCAACATGCCTTGGGAAAGCTTCAGATTAGTTTTATATAATTTTTTTTTATTTTGAGAATTGACAAAGTAATGCTAATCAGAAAACCTTAGCAAGGTCTTGGAGTTTAAAGACATTTGTGCACAAGAGTAACTTTGCTTTTGTAAACAGATTGATGACCTTTTATGAATAAAGGCTCTCATACTTTTTGCAGAATCAGGGTCATAAGAAAGGAGTATGTCCAATGTAATACTTAGACCATATGCATAGTAAACTGACAATTTAATTAATGATCTCTTTTCCATTTTATTCTGCTGCAAAAGAGATACTTGGTGAGTATTTTTCTTCTTTAGTACACTGGTTGAAGGAAAAGCTTGGAAAAATTGTGATAATCTTGGTATTACAAAAAAACCCAAAACATTAAACTCTTCTCTGTAAGTACATAGAAGAAAAAGGACTGCTTCTCAAATTCATGACTGATCAGAACTTAAGTTTTTCGCGTGGTTCTGCAGATGCAGGGTTAGGTTAAAACTGTAGTTTCATATAAATAAATAAATAAACAAATTAATAAATAACATTCCACATCCTACCTCTTTCTTTTCACGGGTTTAAATTTCTCAAAAATCAGTGTAGCATTATCATGCTGAGAAATTCATTTGAATGTTTCAAATACCATATTTTTTCCTGTTTTATAAGAAGTTACAGGGCAAAATATATAGTAATGGTTTAGTTCCATGCATAACTGGGTTTCTTGGAAATGCTTTGGTTGACCAGTTGTCTTACAAAATTGGAGCCCAGTGAATATTTTGCAGATGGCTACCATATTTCAATTTGCACATTTGCAGAACTCAAAAAGCAAGATAGATCTTCCACAGAGCCTAAAGGAAATATTAACCAAATTGAGGTCCAAATTATATGTGGATTCAGATTCTGCTCATATCTGATTGAATGCCCTGTGATTTTAATAACATACCTTTTAGTTGTTCCTGAGCAGATAGATCTTTTGCCCAATGTTCCATAAGAGATCTACAGAAAAGGGGAAATTTCTCCTTAATGGATACAGAAGGAGAAAATTACACACAGATTATTTTTAAGAGTAGACAGTAAAAGAAAGCTTAGTAAAATTCCTTCTTGTTTCATTTTTTTTTAATAAAAGCAGGAAATAAAGAATATAATAATAAAATCATCATTACTAATGGGTCCTCTTGAACTAAGTACTTACTCTACATTTTGACTTTGGATTCAATATACCAGAAAAGCTTTGCCATCAAGCCAGTTTAATTCCTTGTGTATTTTATAAGATGCTGAGGGCTTGGATACACTGTGATCACTATGTGGATGTGGCAGCATGGAGCTTAGCATCAGGAATATCTTCATTAAAAGATGTGTCATTTATTGGCAGTTCCATGCTGCAGACCTCCATGCTGCCACAGAAAACTGACTGCCAGTGCTCATCCTGGCTGATTGAAAGCAGGGACTGCACCCTGGATTGTTGCCTCTGGAAAGGAACAGTGGCATCGTGGCTGTTCTACCAAAGCAGGGGGAAAAAAGTCAAGCAGGTTGCTTAAAATTCACCTCAGAACACACAAAGGCATTATTTCCCTCCAGGCCTAAGTACCAGTGTGTTTTTATCAACTTCTTAGAACGACAGCATCTATAACTTGAAACTATTACTGTGTAAAGCAGAAGATGCCAGTTGCAATGTTACTTTAAACAAGCTCATTCTGTTCTACATAAATACTGTTGTTGATGGAGGGGGTTTTGGTGCAAAATTAATGCAGCTGGATATTTTGCCTTTTAGGCCCCCCCGACCTGTAACCAGCATGAACGACACACTCTTCTCCCATTCTGTTCCCTCAGGAAGTCCCTTTGCAAACAGAAGGTGAGTTCTTATCCTTATTTATATCAAACCATTATATGATAGTGGTGGAAGTTTAAATTTTCAGTTCCCTCACAGGGGTAAAAAAAACCCCAAACCCTCTCACCCAGTAAAATCAAGAGACATGAGCAGAGAAATGCCTTGGTTAGTTTGGACTGATACCCAGAGATCTGAACAGAGGGCTGGAGTTAAGGCATCCCAAGCTTCCACAGCAGAGCGCTGAATTTCAGCTCTCATTTGAACCATCCTGACCCACTAAAAAGTGCTCACATGCAACCCCAGGGTCCCCCATAGGGACCCAAAATGGTCTGTTGGTGAGAAGCCATTTTGTAACAGCACCATGGGAATAGGAACTGGGATGTGCCTGCATCATACCACAAGATATGGATGAACAAAGAGAAGATGTCTTCATACTTCCAAGACATAGGAAGACATCCTTTCTCCTGTTAAACCATTCTGATTTTAATTAAAATCAACAAGGAAGAAGGAATAATCTTGGAATATGGTGACTACCCTTCAGTAAACAAACCAGGGAAGTCTCATCAGAAACAAATCCCAAAGAGGAGGTGCTTTCAGCTGACTGTACATTTTGACTCAATATTTTGGCTCATCCAGCCAAAATATGTGTGTAGCTTTCGCTAGCTGTCTGACCCCATCTATGTAAGCCTGCAAATGCACATAGGTAAGAAGGTGGCAGGAAAATAACTTCCTGCTGTCTTAGGGAAGATGAGCAATGTGTCTTCCTTGGGTGCATTTTATTGCTTGAATCCTGCTCTGTGTGTCAGTGCTTCAGCATTCCCAAATGACTAAACACAATCTCTGGGTATAAACAGCTACATACTTTAACACAAAAACTGAAACCAAACCTGCAGTGTACACTGCAAAGTCAGAGTGTAGATGGTTTACTACTTCTTTGATTTATGAATTTTGTTACCACAAGCCATAAGCTGTAAATTCTGTGTTGTCTCAGTGCAACTGGGTGTGACTGAGATGCTTTTTGAAAGTCAGTCCCAAAGCAGCCCCCAAGGCCAGATCTGCTGCCTATACGGAGAGACTGCAAATGCAGATTCATTTCTGTAGTTGGAATATATGGGGGTTTATGTGCTAGGCAGGGTGAAGTATTTCTAGCCTCTCCAGGAGAGGTCGCTAAGAGCAGCACTCTTTAGGAGTGTTGCTGATGCTTCTCTTTATTCTCAAGATATCCCTGTTCTCAATCAACAAAAGTGCACTGCTCCTTAGGCCAGGGACCTGCAGTGACACTCACAGCACTGTCTACTGTGCTGCTTGTCTCTCTTTGCCTGTGAAACATACCTGATTATTTTACTTTTGTCTTCTTTAGCAACTGACTGTCTTTAACTATCAGGTTTAAACGTACATGCTTCCTGAGCTGTTAGAATTCCTTTTTCTTCCTAGGAAACATTCCTTGATGAGAATCCCCTGAAGGCAGGTGATAGTACCACCCCCCTCAAGCATAGGTACCCAGACTTCCTTATAAGTGCATAGTGTGGCATCCTTGTACAGTTAAAAGTTTCCATGATGCAGCAGTCATTCTGGCTTTTTTAGAGTTAACTGTACCCTGATATGAAAAGTAATTACATTGATTGTATATTAGAAGTTTTGTCACTTTTGTTTCATTGACATAGCAGGATTTTAGGAGTTTGACAGCTTATTCTCAGTATTTTTATTTTCACCTTTTACAAATTTAATTTGCATCTTTTTGTTGGAAAGAAAAAGCACCCTACAAACAGCCAAGTCAGTATTCTTTCTAAATAAATTAGATTTATTGTTACAAACCCTCTCTGAACACTCTGCTCTCTGTGTATTCTTTCTGAGGTATTAACAAGGTTTCATTGTTTGAATCATTCAGGTTACTTGGGGGTATAAATGCAGCCAGTCCTGTGGCTGATGAGCATTCTCTTATAAAGCTGTATGTAAATCAGCTTCACAACAATTCACGGTCAGTATGAGAGCACTAACCTACTAATCGCAGTAGTTCTGTAGCTCATGCACTAAATCATTAGCAATTCTGCTAAACTACTCAAAATATTCTTTAAGGAAGGCTCTGATGGGCTAGAGGGTTTCTGTGGCTCTAATTAGTCTTTTGAATAGACTTCCTGCTGGCTGTGGGCTTTGCCAACTTCTCTTGCTTCTGCGCAGCACAACTCTCTTTCCTTTTACCCTTTCATGTAGGATTAATATTCATGTGTCCAGTGGAAGTTGGAAAAACTGCTTTTGTAAACTACACCTTTATGGTTCCATCATCAATGTATGACTTGCCTGTTGTGTTCTTGACCAGGGAATGAAAGAGGCCTGCACAAAAGCCTGGAAATTATTTCAGGTCTCACAGCCACCGTCCTCTGCCTCAGCTCTCACTGTGGGTGGCTGCTGTTCTGCCTTGTGCTGCTTGCCAATAACCCTTCCCAGACCCCTCAGCTTTGCTTTTCAAAATGACCACAGGAAAGGCAGATCTAAGTCCTCCTGAAGCTAATGAAAACTTCCCATTTACATAGTGAGCACTGGATTTGGACCCATACCTCTCACTGCTGAATCCTTTTTCCAGCATTCCCTCACATCTCAGTGACCTAAAGGAAGATCCTGTTTCAGTCTGCATAAAATAAATATGCAATTGCATAAGAACAGTTTCCCCAGCTTTTTTATGTGGAATTATGTAGAAATTTCCTTTTTTTTTTTTCTTGTTAGTCCATGAGCATTAACTAGAATTCAGTAAGAATTATCGATATGAAGGTACTTTTCTGCTAAATGTCAAGATCTTCAATCTGGGTTAGACTAATAACTGTATCTTCATTCATTCTTTTAAGTTTTACTGTTACAATTGCCCTGGGAAAATCAGGCCCCATTAGTGGAAGCTCACCCTCTTGAACATCAGAGAAACAGACTTTGATAGCTCTGTTTGCAGTTGTGCTGGTTTTATATTAAATACTCCATGACTCATATTATAATAAGAGTACAAACCCAGGGTAAAATTTCTAGCTGGATGTAATCAACACTAAAAGCTCTGCTGGCTGTATTTTCACTGCAGATAACTTATGGTTACTTTAATTTGTATTGCAGTCTAGTCCAAAGGTTTCAGATAGCTTTAAGTGACGTTTTTATGCAATTTGAATGTTTATTCAAAGGAGAATTGGCAGAGAAAGTAATTCATAGCATTCCCATGGTATTTATTTCAGCTACTTGTGTTCACTTAAGAACATAGCCATTCTAACCAGTTCCTCCCTGTGGCAGCAAATGCTAAATTCAGCACACCAGCTCATTCTGCTGCTGGAAATGGATAGCATCTCCTAAGTTCAGCACACTACTATATTTCTGGATACAGGAGTGAAAACTGGAAATTAACTGGAAGGATGGAGAATCTTGTTAGAGGAAAGATCTTTAATAATTGGTGAATGGAGTGACAAATTGCAGGGAGCAGCTGAAAGGAGATGGAACATTATATACTATTTACACTTTAATTGCCTCTGGAGCACTGATTTCGGGTGGGTACACAATTACTCCAAAGCTCAAAGGAAGTTGGGTTCAGGCTTTCCCAAAGATGCTTTTTAATTTCTTCAAACTGCTTTAGAATTAGAGTCCACTTAAAATTTCTGTGCTTGTTTGCTTAGTTTGAGCCAGCAGGCCCATAAGAGAGCTTTAATGAGGAGGTTGGCCTAGCAATTACAAGCACCTTTCTTCCTTATGTATACAGTGTGGAAATTGGTATCAACAATATGCTCTGTACAGCTCAAGAACAGCTTTAAAGCATTTGTGTTAGAAAAGAAGAAACAAAAAAGTCTGTGATCTTCTCCCAAATACCAAATCATGGTCATTTGCTGTTGACAGCTAACATGATTAAAACCACAAGGCCTGTAATTCTTTTGCTGTAGCTAATATTCAGAGGTTTTCTCTCATTTGTTTTTGCAATTTCTGATGTCCTAGAGGGCAGCAGAACAAGGGAAGATTACTGCAATAGGTAATGCCCTTGCAAACCCAATGATTTGGATATGTTACATCAAAACAAGAAAACTTAGCATTATAGAAACTTTTGTCCGGTCAAGAGAAGTAACTCAATACACTGAATTAATGGGTTTTTTTCCTTATTTGAATAATTTTGTTCCCCTGCTGCAGTCTGTCATGCTGACTTAAAGTATATAGCTGCCATAGTAATGGGTACAATGTCCTGCTCTTTCTTTATAAATGTTTTCTTTAAGCTATTGAATTATTGTGCTTAGGTAGGATAAGAGGAAACAGAATGTTTTTTCTTGAATTTTTCTCAGCCCCTCCTTCACAGCTAATGCATTTAGTTTTTCTAAAGGGGTAATAAACTGGAATAAATGGTGTGATGCAACACATTCTGGTGAACTTGAAATGACTTGGCAATTACACAAGGATAGATAGAAAGAATGTGCTATGATATCAGATATCCATAGCCAAGCAGAAATTGAATCTTATTTAATGCTGAGTCGGAATGGCCGGTGCCTTTTTTGAACTCCACATAAAAGTTAAAGGAATTTATATTCAACCTGGGCATAACAAGAGATTAGGCCAGATTTCTAGTCATCAACTAACTTGGAGCAAAACACACTGGTTGCTGCTGTTCTCCATGTTCCTATCTCTAAGGAGCGTGGTAGACTTCAACTGCATGCTGTCTTTGCGTGACTTATTCAGAACAAGATGAGAAGCCTTATTCAGTAGAATATCAGCTAAAGGAAAGGTTTATATGTTTGGTGTTTAGTAGCCAGGTAGACATTAATGAGGGCATAACATTTACACCAATAGTATTAGGTCTATATCTTCATAGACATCTGCTCACAGCTGGAAGGTTTGTCTCTAAATTTGGATGGAGAAGCATTACTTAGCATCCTACAAGATGTTCCACTTTAGCAGGAATATATATTTAAAATATCTTTAAAATATATTTCCACTTGGAAATTCTCTTTGGCCAGACTGATCTCTGAAGTGTTACTTGTGTTTTGAGGGATATGTGGAGGATGTGGGAAGATATGGAAGAACAAGGACAAATGTCAGCTCTTCCAAATGAAGAAGGTGGAATCGGGGACAAAGGTGAAAAGGATTATAAAGGAGGCAGCCTAACCTTGGTCTCCAAAGATACTGAAATTATAAAAGAGTAAGCATCTGGAGGATAATAAACAAGATATAACCACCGTAGATTTGTCAAGAACAAATATCAACCAAACTAATTTATTTAATTGACAGGATGACTGATCCAGTGGGTAAAAAAAGAATCAGCACATACAATACAGGTTGACCTTAAAAGGACTTACAAACATAGTCTCAGATGACACAGAAGTACCCAGAGGAAATACAGATATAGGGAAATTAGTAAAAGAACAACATTGAAAACGAGTAATGACATGTTCAGAAGTTTGCTGTTGATTTAGGAGAAGGACATCTGTTGGGCTTCTTGAAAGCTATCCTAAATTAGACACTGCACTATTTCTCATAGCGACTTAATGGAAGCAATAGAGTGAATACATCCAATTTGTTGGTGGTACAAAGGTTGAAATAGTTGTGGAAAGGAGTGCTTGGAGAGCAGTTTCTAAATAAAAGAAAAGTAGCTTAGCAGCAATGGTAGTAATTGATGTCCAAATGATCTGAAATCAATTACAGGAAATTCAGTAATTATAAGTGAAAAGTGCTGTAGCAAGGAAGCAAATAGTCACATAAAAGATGGGAGCATAATTAGATGGATAGAAATATTTTAAAAGAAGACCTAGCAGTTGCAGTGAACCACAAACTAATTGAAGTCAGAAATACAATTGTTAGATTGCATTTGACCCTGGAACATCATGTGGAAAGCCATTAAAACTCATTCCCCAGAGGAGGAGACATCTGCCTAGAGGTTTGCTTGCAGTTTAGGGCAGCAGCAAGGGAGTAGATATGCTAACCAGCATAGCTGGAGTCCAGAGGACACCCAGACATCAGAAAAACAGAGAAAATGTAACTCATGAGAAAAGGCTGGAAGATTAAAGTTTGCTGAATCAACTGAAAAGGAAAGGGCCAAGGTATCAGTTGCTCAATGGTAATCCTTGCTTGCCTGTCTCTCCACACTAACTGTGTGGCCTCTGGAGCATAGGAGAGAGGAGCTTGTGGTTGGTGAAGGGCAAGAAAGCAAGGCCCAAAATCTGCCATGGCCTTTGGTCTCCCACTGTGGCAACATACTTATCTGTACTTCTAGAAGTGAAAGGTGCATCTTTGGCTGAAGTGGCACACCCTGTACCCTGTGAATGCATTTTCCTTCTGTAACTGGGAAGAAAACGTGTGGAAAACTCATCCTTCTAGATGGCATGGCACATGTTTATCTGCATGGATTTTGCCCCAGTGGAAGTGCAATACATATAAGTCGCATGCTGGTGGGCAGAGAAATGTGAAACAAACAATTTTTTTTGCTGTGCAGTACAGCATTTCGTTCAGTTATCTTACAAATTTATTATAAATCAATAGGCTTGAGTTCTTAGGACAGCCTTTGGTCCCATCCTCTTCAGAACCCTACTGCCAACCTTGCCCTCCCAAAAGGAGGGGAATTACACAAATCTCACTTCATTTAATTCCTTCTTTGTCCCAGTATTGAAGGTTTTGAAGATTACCAGGCACCACATTTGTGCAACATTACCTGCCTACACACAAACACAGAGACCCATACACCCCTGGATGCCCAAGTGCATCCATGCTTTCGCACCCATGAGGTGCCAAACAAAAAAAAAGGTGATTAATTTTTAAAAACAAGAAAGTAAAATATAATTTTGTTTTGCTTTGTTGTTTCTTAAAAACAAAAAAGTGCTGCAGCATGAAAAATAAAAAGAACATTTTCAATGTTTCTCATTTTTAGCCAGTGGTACCTTGTTAACATGGATATTTAAGTGTTGGGAAAGAGGCAGTTACTGCAATCCATTAAATACTGTAATTAGGAAAAAAGTGTGTTTGGTGACTATATATTATTTTAAATCAACAGAAGAACAGTACTTCTGAAAATTAAACTGCTGTGTCCCATCACTGCTTCCAAATAAATGCCTTTCCACAGATTATTGAAACCATCTTACAGTTAATGTGGAGAAAAGCAATTTAGCTGTTATGGTAAAGCTTTCCCAGCTCGAAAGCAGCATTTGAGACTTTGAGACCATGTTTATCTCAGACTCATCAGGAAAATACACAAGCCTTCATCTCTCCACTTGAGAGAGAAGCACATTTTGTTTGTCATTTCTGTAGTGGGGGCTTTAATAGTTTGCTTTTGGAGAATAGGAGGGAAAACTCGTAATTCCTGATTTTGCATTTCCTGACGTTTTCTAGACTTTCTTTAAAGCCTCTATTATTTTTATTCAGTCCAGAGCACTCAAATGAGCTTCTCCAAACTCTGTTCTGTAATGAATTTCAGACATCACTGTTTACCCTCTTCTTAGTTTTCCTGTCTTATTAACTAGCTCTCCTTCCAAGAATACTGAAGTAGAGCAGAGCAAACTGCTGGCTAGGGCTGCTCCAGCTTTCTTGAAAGGCAAAGGGTAAGTTAAAGAGAGAGTATGTTCTTAACTTGCACTAACACAGCTAAACCAAAACATTTTCCTCTATTCCTCCCATTTTTAATGTATTCTATATACATCTTTCCTGAGAAAATTGTGATAAGCAATTAACCCAGTGAGCTAAGTAAGGCATGTTTAAATATATGTATGTACACCTGGATGGATAAGGTCTTGACCAGACACTTCCAAGCAAATCCAGCTTGTGAATTCAGAGTGTCAGTAATGTATGTTACATATCTATATTAATGTTTGTGTGCAATATATAGTATATTAAACCAAATAATGCTGACCTCACAATTTGCTGTATTTTGTAATAAATGCTACTGTATAGCTCCAGAGCTTCAGTTCCTGGCCTGATCTGGCATCTCACTGATTTCTGAGGCTAGCTCTGTCATCAAGTAGTATGCTACCATCCTAAATCACTAAATACTAAACATATAATTACAATAATAACAAAATAATTTCTGCACTTGGCGTGTTATTTCATTTAGATTTTTTTTTTCTAAGAACGCTGAAGTATTCTTTCCTAGATTCCCATTTCACAATCTTACTTGCTCCTGCTCTCTCTGTTTGTGTCTGTCTGGCTCACACCCTGTTTCAGGTTACAGTACAGCCTCGATGTTGCAGACAGGCTGGCTGATGAACACGTGCTCATCGGGGTCTATGTCAACATGCTGCAGAGCAGCCCCGCACGGTTAGTGCAGTTTGGCACCTTTGGGGGACCCAGCAGAGGCACCCTGCTCAGCCAAATGCTCTCACTGTTTCCTCCTGGCCACGAGCTGGAGCAGCTCTTCGTGAGCACTAACCTGTAGTGAATATGTATCAATATGGGGTATGTCCTCCCAAAGTTGATAGACTGTGGCACTGGCTGCTATTTTCTCTACTGAGGCTTGTGAGGTATTGCCAAGTATTGCAAATAATTGCTTGGTTAAGAATGGCTATGCAAATTGCTTGGCACACTGAGCTCTAGGCAGTGCAGGATTTGGTGGTGGTACAGAAATCTTCACACAAGAATGATTAAACAAGCCCATGTTTTCAAGGTATTCAATTTTGAGATCATATATAATTTGTAGCTTCACTTTCCTTAAAAGTTGGCAACTGTAATAGTACATAAATAATTAAATCGTGATAATAATTTTCTTATTGACCTAGTGAGAGAAATTAATTTTGATTTTTACATATGTCAGGCATTGCTTTTAAGTCTCCCTGATTTCTGCATTTTTTGAATCTTGTATACAAATTTTCCCTTCTTTCATCTAGACTCAGGAGTTTTAAATGGGTGTCTTGAACATATTTCATTGTTTCTGCTGGAGTGATTATAGAGCTTTTTCTCCTAAACCCACCAGCTGTCCTGGCACTTGAGATGCTGGCATTGCAGCCCGCCGTGCCAGGGAAGGGAAAAGCTGCCTCACCTCTCCAAGTGCAACAGAATTCCACAGACTTTGCAGCCCTGTACCAGCAAAGTGCTGACCAGTATATGGGCCTAGAAAATGTGGTGCTGAGCAGAAAACTGTACAGTGTTTCTACCAAAACTATGATCAGGAGGTTTATTTTGCTCACAGCAAACCCTTCCGTTTCCTGTGCTGCCACTGCAGAATATTTCCCAGTTTAGAAAAAAGTCTCCATTTACTCTAGTATGTAGGAGGCAATAAGCAATTTCATTTAGGAGAATGAATGCAATGGTTCTCTGCAGTCTCAAAAATTTCCCTTCTGCATGTAGCTCCTGTTGAAAATGGGAGTAATTTGTCATGCCTAGTGGATAAAAAAGTCTGCCTCCATTGTCCTAGATCTGTTTCTCTGCCCTGTAGCCCATTGGAATGTGGCAGTGGTGGAGGGTTGAAAAGGCAAACTAGGTTTTTTCAGGAGGAAAATGAAAACCATTTATCCTAAGTAAAACATTTTCAGGGGGAGTTTCATTCCTGAAGAAGCACTTCCAGAAATCAGACTTACTGAGGAATGTTGACATGTGGCTGTGAAAGCAGGCTCCTGGGGGAATGTGTGTGACCAGCCATTGCCCAACCATGACTGAGGATAGGAATATGCTGCCACTCAGTCTGGTGTGACAGGGAGAAGGAAGTGTGGCTCTGGCTACCATGAATGACTTACTTGGTATGGTTATTCAGGAGGCGACTGAGAATGGACATGGTGGTGGTAGACTTGTTTGACAGGCATAGCATTTTGCATGCTGTGTCTAGGATTCATTCAGCTTCAGTGAGGGCTACCTGTTCCTCCTGAGACCTCTTTGTAGGTGCCTTGTCTCATCTGTACTCTTTCCATCCTCCCAAATTTATTCTTTATATTTCAACCTGTTCCCTCAAAGCTTTGAGCCAACCTCACCAAGTCATAGCACCTTTGTTTCCAAATATACATATAGAAATCATATGCCATGAGATTCAACATTTGTTTGGTTTTGAGAAACAAATGGGGGAGTGACTGACAACAACCTTAATTGTTTTAACAACTGATGCAAAGCATAGTACATAACATCTGAATACTGACATTAAATCACTGCAGTCACAGCATCCTCAATGAGAAACAATCTCAGTTATTTGTATCATTAGTTTTTGACAGAAACATAAGCTAGGGGGACAGTAGTCTTAGTCAAGCATTAGACCATACTGCATTGCTATTTTCTGCTTTGTTGGACTGAGACTGCAAGTAGAGAAATAGAATGGTTACATTTTGGTAAAAACAACGACAAAATCTTGCCATCCTAGAACTCCTGTGTGAATCCATTTTCCAGAGGAGTAGGTGAGACCTCTGCAGGAAGCTCAGCTGCTGCATCTCAAAGTCTGGGGTGGCATCTTCAGGCAAAGCTGACCTCCTCCTGCCCATGCCTCAAAGTGGCTGGATGCAGTTTACTCTAAACCCACACACTTGTGCCAAGATGGTGCTAAGTTCAAGTTGTTTCACCCTGCATCTTAAGGAGGTTTGGTAACCTGAGTAAAGCATGCAGTTAACCAAAGTGAGATAACTTCTGGTTTAGGGGAGGCTGCAGCTGGCCAGCTCTGCTGTTCAATCTGCCTGCAAAATACTACCTGTACCTGCCCAGACATCAGATAATTCAAGTGCTTCTGGCAGCCAAAGCTGAAAAGAGGTGTGATTGTAGCTGGACCTTTATCTGCAAGAAAAACCTGCAGAGATACTTTGTGAGCATAAAACATGTAATTATCTCAAGAGCTGTATAGTAACATTAAAAAAAAAAACAAGATTTGGGGTTTTTAGATGCTGAGGCTAATTTATAGCTAATCATCAGTCTAATATAACCCAGTATAACTTTGGTTTTGTTTTAAGTGCAGCTAGTATTTATATTTTGGGCTTTGTGGGCTATTTTTAATTCATTTAATTAATTTTCACTGCTTATCTTTATTTTTCATCTCCAGTTATTTGGTACTGCAAGTAAAAGTACAAGTTTTCCTTTCCTACTACCACAGGCTAATAAGCTACTTGAGGGTTTTTTAGAAGCCAGTACTCCAGAGCAAATTAATAAACAAGAGGAAGAATTAATTCATTATTTATAGTAACTATATGGATAGAAAAATTAGCCCTTAGCCAGATGTTTTGAATAGTTTAATTGCAAAGTCTTTTTTAGTATTTAAAACCAATATTTGACACTTACTTTAGTTTATCTTTAGTGTCTGATTCTTAAAATAGTTTCCATTTTTGTAAGGTAGAGACTTGGCCTAGCTTTGAATAATAATTCCACATATTTCAGCCTTTTTCTTTTCAGGTGTAGAAAAAAATCAGGTAGACTAAAAGTAAGAGGTTATTTTGGCTTCATAGAGAGCTGTTTTCTGGAGGTTTTATGTTATACTGCATGGTACTATGTGAATCCTATTTCTCTATAGAAGTGTTGGATTATATTTTAAAATGTTTTAAAATATTGTATATTTTAAATATATTTGTATATTTAAATATCTATATTTTTAAATGTTTATTAAGGGGGTGTGCAGAACTCTAGGTGCAAAGGCTGGTTTAATCTTCCTTTGAAAGAGGAAAAACATTCAGAGACCAGAGGAAATGTGTAGACATATAGCTCCCTTGAACAGAGTTAGTTTTTGTGATTATTCACACATAGCTGAATGCTATAATATTTTGGTGGTAAAATCTCTGTGATTCTAAAGTATTAATTAATTAATACTAGTGGCTAATTAACAGTAGTAGAGGACTCAGATGATTTGTTTTGGTTTAAAGTGCCAGGCCGGTTTTGAAAGTGTGGTGGTTAAATAGTCCTTGGAATACATTTGGTGCGTTGCTGTTATGCCTTTTTTTTTCAGCCTTAAGCAAATTATTTATTCAGAAAGTGTTTGTAGAATAAGAGCACATGAAGACTGCACTGGTACTTCTCTTGCAAAAATTTCATGAGACTTTTCTAACCAGCGGTGACACAATTGTAAAACCAGCAGGGAACATCCACATCAGCTATTGCCAGGTGCCTACTGCAGAACAGGCTGGTCTGACATATCTGAAGCCAGAGAAATAGCAAAGATCCTCCAGAGTCATTCCTTTGCTCATAGGTTGTCATGTTTTTCATCCTTTGCCTGCAGTTTTGAGATCCCTTTTTTTAATGGAGCGTCCTTAGACCACAGAAGTCCTAATGTGCAGGTGCTAATATTGGATATTCACTCTACATCTGAATGGTGATAGGTGCCAGAACAATTATTGCTAATAATTATAAGGTCTTTTAAGAAATGGTCACTAATGAAGAAGCAGTGATTTTTAGAAAAGAAGGAACAACAGTAGGATATTTGTATGCAAAATGTCCAGTTTCTCTCAAAAGGATGCCTGAATCATTCCCCTGGGGTCCCAAATTCTGCACACACATTCATAGTATTTTAAACCTTTTTGTGTACGATTGTCTTACTGTATCACTGTATTTCTGGTTTTCTGTGAAGTTGGTGAAGTAAAACAGAACTGAATTATGAATCTGAGAACTCTGAGACATAAAATTCTTGGCAGTTGAGGGTAATGCTGCTGTGCAAACTTCTGTGCTTAATGGTCACATAGAATAATGGTCACATGGTATATTCCAGAAGTCCATTTATCTCAGACATTGAAATTTAATTTTCAAGGCTTTGGGGCTAGTGATTTGCAGCACCCATAGACTAAATTTGACACATTGCTACATCTATTTTATGACATCCACCCACACATAAATATATATCAAAGGTATTAAATACAAGTAAGCCACAAGTAAGTCATACAAGTGGCTTGGTTAATTCAGTAAAGCAGTTGGCTTAGGTGTTAGCTCACATCTCAGAACTCTGGTGCAGATTGGGTTATGCCAACAAGTGGAACCATAATCCATTTTTCCAAGATGGATGTGGCTGCACATTGCCATAAAAAGGAGAATTGATGCTGAATGCTTGCTGTTTTCACAACCATCTGTTAGGATGCCATGTTTTAGTCATTATGGTAAAATTAAAAATTTATTAAACTGTCATGAAAGTAACCATTTTTACCCAGTTTACATAATTTTGTGTCTGCAAGAGTTGCTCACTCCTTTCTTTCTGTGGGTGACATATTAGTACAGTAAGCACGAGTATGTAAGAAGCAGAACTGTATAAATTTAGAAAAATGCTTTAGCTTTGGTCTTTCCCAAAGGCATATCAGTTACCCCACCAGAATCTCAGTAAGCATAAAATTAGGCTGTATATGTAACAAAATAAACATAACCAAAACCAAAAAGTCAGTGGTCATCTACCACCAGAAGTCTTACATGCAGTCTGCGGCACAAGTTTTATTTACACAGAACCTCTCTGTGTCTCAGTTTTCAGAGCTTTACTGTTTTTCTAAACTTCTTGTTTGTGGTCTCACAGGTTATTATCACAATGAGAAAAAGATGATGTTTGTTTCTTGTCTCTTGCATCACTAAGCTGTAGCAAATCCACATGACACCCAGCTTTAGTTTCATGATCAGTGAATATCAACCACTGCTCATCTTTCACACATAACTTTTAAATCCCAGTGGATTTAATCAGGCCAAACAACACATGTGCACTGTAGTTCCCTGAAGGACATGGGGCTATGAACTCACTGAGAAGCTTTAGAGAAATATTTCTTTTAAATATATCAGTTCTTCAAAAGCAGAGCTTTTGGTACAAGTGTGATTTTCCTCTGAAAGGCTTTTCAAGTTCAAGGTACAATTTCTGGGGAAAAAATCAGAATAAAATGCCATGCCCAGACTCTTCTTTTGCCAGCAACCAGTTACATGCCCAGAAGAGCCCCTGGGCAGGGAGGTTTGTTCCTGTTTCCCTTCAGACAAAAACCATTATAGAGTAGCCAAAGGATAAGACAAGAGGCCAGACTTGCCTCTGTCTGGGAAAGTCTACAGGCAGCCTTGTATTCCATGTGGCAATTCCGCATTCCTCTCACTGCTTCTTAGGGACTTCATTTTTTTTCTCTCTTATGTATACTAAAAGTAATGCAGTATAGGATTCTAAAGCCCAGGATTATCCAGGGTCAACAAAGTCCTTTTCAGATTTCTGGTTTTGTTAGTTTTTGATGTTCATCTGCAAAATTCTTAATGTTTAGAAATATTGAAAGTCCTCACTATATTACCTTTTTCCTGATCATCTGACTAAATAATAGCTTCCTTTTAAAATAAGGACAGTTGGAAAAGCATTAACCTGAGAGAAATATTTGCATTTTATATTCTTGGGGGAGAGAAAATAATAAGGTGCAATATTTTAGAGGAATTCAGCATATTTGCTGTTTAGTTTTTTAACTTGTTGATCTCAGTCATGTGACACTGTGAAATCTTGCTCCCTAATAGCAAGAAATCAAGAATAAAAGAGAAAGCCTGATTATAAATTCCTAGGTCAATGATCCATGAGATCTTGGTAAGTGACTTGAAAAACTATCCTAAACACTGTTTTCTGGTAAAAATATGATGACAAAGCTTCTAAAGTTTTTCTCAACAAACACCAAGGCTTCTGACCAAAAAATCGCCTTCCAGGTGATATGACAAAGCTGAATTGTAAAATAAATACTGACTGATGGTCCTAACCACCTCCTGACCCTTTTGGGGCAGAGTGGTCTGCAAGCTGCATCCTGTACAACTTTTACTGTGGGCTACAGAGTGCTGCCCTTTTCTCCCTAAAGGAAGGTACTGCCCAGCCCCTTAGAGCTGATCTTTCCAAGGAAATTCTCTCCCTTTTGCTCAATTAACATCAGCTGTTCCTAATTTGGTGACGGTTTGCTCCTTTGTTCTGATGTGTGGGGGTGTGAGGTGGTGGCTGGCTGAGGCAGAGGGTGTTTTTGCCATGTATGAACCTCTCTTCCCATTTTCCCCTCCCCTGAGCAGCGTCCTTGACAGTGCAAGTCGGCTGGATGAAGAACACAAGCTGATCGCCAGGTACGCAGCAAGGCTGGCAGCAGAAACTTCTTCATCAGTAAGTGTTTTAATTAAAGGAAGGTACTTTCCTTCTGTCTTGTTCCAGGGGCTTGGCAAGATCAGGGAAATTACATCTGACAGTCTAATGATTAATGGATTATTTTTCCCTACTCGTTTCATCAGAGGCTGTTATGCTTTAATAATAACACTTTTATGCAGTCCATTGAATCCAAAGAATCCACATACTAATGCATATAATCTATATACTAATGCAGTGGCATTTAAATAATTGCATCAAAGGGAGCCTGACATCTTGAACTCAGGAAAGACTATAGAATATTGTCTGGACTAGCTTTGGTTAAAGGTTAATGATTTACTGCATTGGAAAAATGGGGTGGTGAATCCATTTTACTCTCTAGCTCAAATATCACAGCCACTAGGCCCTTAAGTACTAAGGATATTAAAGAATGTTCTTCAGCAGGATGACTGTAATGACCCCCTGCATTAGCCCTGGCTCCCATTTTCATTTCAGAGCAATGATTATTCTGCTCTCTGTGTCCAAAGATAGAAGGTGATGACAGACTAAAACCTTACTAACTGCATTCAAGAACAAGAGAGAATGAAGCAGGAACCTTATCAAAGTATATAAAATCTTAAATGGTACATAAAAGGTCAGCCTAGCTACTTTTTTTCAATCTCAGACCATTTGATAGAACAAGGGTCCATGAATGATGGTTAAGTGAAAAGCAGCAGGTCTGGAGTGCCCAGAAACATTTTCACACTGAGATTTTCACACTGTGGGGTCAATTGAAAGGGTGAAATTGGGCACCACACATTGTGTAAAGACACTGAGTCACATTTAGACCACGTGAAGATGGGCCTGCTGCCCCATGCAGATGTCATGGAGATTTCACACTACCTGCAGCTGCCTGGGAGGAGAGGGGTGCTCCTGTTCTGCCAGTCCAGCCCAAATCAATCATTTCCAGACATGTGACACAGTGTTTTGAATTTAAGGCAACCTGTAGATGACTGTCTTATTTCTGAAAGGCAGTAATTCTTTATGGGAACATGATTTCCCATTAATAATGTCTCTGGTTAAAAATCAGTCAGCATCAGTTCCATATAACATGTGTCCTTTTGATGTAGGGAAAAATGGTGTAAGCAGAGCTGACTTGAAGGAAAATATTGAATTTTTCATTGCCATTCATCTTTGCTTTTTGAACAAAAGAGACAGAAGGAAAAGGGGATGTTTCTATAAAGAGAAATCTTTACAAGCAAAAGAGTGATGTCCAGTATGGGCAGTGGAAATTTTTAAAGCTTTGCTGATAGTTATTCTGGATTTTAAGGAACTGAATATATTGATAACAGTGGGCATTCAAGATAAAGATCCTGCTTCCTCCTGTATGGGTGATGACATCCACCAGTGTGTATCAGTTTTTAATGCACTGTTCTGCTTCCCTGTGGTTGATGTGTTAATGGGAAAATGCATCCATAGCAGAAAAGATAGTAAGTGGTTACGGGGTGAAACATACTGTCCTTTTCCTACAGACAGTCCTAACCTTTGTTAGGCTATTGAAATATATCTTCATTCTTTTTGAGGATTCACCTCCTGGCAGGGAAGATGGCTGACATCAAGTAAAATAACACTCCAGAGTTACACTTCACAGGGCTTTTTGTGGTGAGGAGCCCACATATTACAGCAGTAACTCAGCAGAGTATTTTTAAATACCTGATTCTTTCAGGTTGTAGTTGGAAATAAATAGGTATCTTTCATTGTTGTGAAACTTCTAAATGTCCTGTGTTGTCATTGTTGCAATACTGAAATACAGGAGTGTGAACAAGGAAAGCAAGGACTGATTATTGCTGATGAACATGCAAAAAAGGGATAGTCCAGTGAAGCTGTAGTGAGCACTGCCTAGTTTGGTGAGAGACAAATTATCATATAATTTTATTGGTGGAAAAAAAGATTTTGCTGTACCTGAAGGACTGGGGAAAGAGGTTTCCTAAAGTATCATGAGAGCAGGTAGGAAAACTTGGCCAAATGGGCCATACAGCCAGACTGAGAACTGAGCACTGCTTTCAAACTGAAAGTAAAACTGTGCTTTCAAGAGAGTGAAGCATCACTGCCCTGGAAACACATCCTGTTCTTTCTGGAGGCAGACACTGGTTTTTGCTTCAGTGTGCTCCTCTTGTCTGTAGCATCAATATCAAGAGCCACATTACAGCAACTGCCTGCAGCAGTGTCATTGCCTTTTATGATTGGTTCAGAGGAAGCTGCATGAGAAAGCAGTGTCTGACAGGATGGTAAACACAGAGTCTTATTTACTCTAGCACTTACTCTGCTTTTACTAGCAATGGTTCCATACTGGTATGAGATAACATGAATGTTCTTTTTTTAGTGTAGGCAAGCTTGGTACTGCACTTTCTGTAAACAGATTTCACAGAACAGATCTGTGTTGAACTCATGGTGCATGCTGGCTATTCCTCTTTCAATGCAGCCTTCTCTGTTTTACAACAGCAGCCGAGTCAGCAGAGAGGGGCATCAGATATCTCCTTCACCATTGATGCCAACAAGCAGCAAAGGCAGCTGATTGCAGAGCTTGAAAACAAAAACCGGTAAGGATCCACTAAGTACCTGGTTTGCTTCAGTCCCATATGTTACATATGCGTTTGTTTCTTGGCATTTTTTAGCACCTATACTTTTACAATGTGCGCAGGCACATACATCTTCCCCTACAGAAAAACAGCAAAGAAACATCCATAAAATAGGATAAAGGCTCTGAAATCCATAGCCGTACCATGTTTTCAGAAGTGTACTGTCCAATGACACGATATAATCATGAGTACTTTACTGTTTGCAGCTGCTGTTTGTTAAGAGTTGTTTTTTTTTAAAATCTGTCCTGTTTCAAAACCGGATTAACTTTCTGTTGGATTCTCTGTAGCACTATAACATGAAATGATAACAGGATCAGTCACACTTGTAATGTTATGCTCCCCTGCTTTTATTCAGGAAAAGATGATTAAAGCTTTTCAGAACACAGTCTGCCTGGGAGAGGTTAGCAGGAAGATTAGCAGCCAGTTAGGCTGCTGATCAAATGAGACAGGAGGTGCAGATGTGACTGAGACTGAGAGAGAGTGTCCAGGAGAAATAGGCCGGCCGGCCCAAAAGAGGAGTGATGCCTGTTTGTTAACAGCAGAGAACCTGGCCCTGGGTACCAGACTGCCTGATGCCATGAAATGTATGGCAGCAGAGCTCTGCTTTTAGTGCTGGACCATAAAACAGAGGCTAGCCCAGACCAGATGGTTTCCTATTCCAAACTTTGCACTGCCTTCTGTCACCGTGTAATGAGCACCACCAGCTCCAGTCTCGATTTGCCTTTCATAGTTCGAGGCTGCCTCCTGACCGTCTGCTTGCAGCACATTGTGAAGAAGAGACAAAATTCACAGAGGTTTCAACCTTCTGCTGTGAAGCTTTGTATTAGCCTTTTGACAGCACTCCAGGGCTCACAAGCCAGTCGTAGCAAGTCTTATTAAAGTGCTTTTCTGTGAATTGTCAGCTCTCTCACATCTCTGCTTCCATTAAAACTATTTTAAAGGGCTAAATATTTTCTCTGACACTCCACAATGTCCACAAAGGTTACTTCAATTTTTTTTTTAAGTTCGTGAGGTGGTGGAAGTGTTCATGGTGAAGAATTACAAGGGAGCAGTTCTGTCAAGCATGGAGCTATTTTATGTCTACCTGTGTTTTTTGGGGGGTTTTGAAGAATGGTTTCCCTTTATGACAAAATCCTAAAAGTTTATTCAGAAAATATCCAGAAGCCTCTCCCATTGCTGAGGGCTTCTTTGGTTGTCTGCAAACAAGTCATTTTACTTACATCTTCGCTGATTAAAAGCTAAATACAGTCATACTTTTTCACCTCTTGCAATGTCCAGGGAACTGCTTTTGTGGAAAATAACTTACTTATGGTCTTCTGTTTGTTCTCCTCCCCAAGAGAAATCCTGCAGGAGATCCAGAGGCTGCGACTTGAGCATGAGCAAGCATCTCAGCCCACACCAGAGAAGGCCCAACAAAATCCCACTCTCCTTGCAGAGCTCCGGCTCCTGAGGTAAGCTCACAGCAGCAAAACCTCTGGCCTTGACAGGGGCCAACCAGTCATTCTCAGTAAGAGAAGAAATAAAAGATAAGCCTGGCTTATGGTTTTGGAGGCTTTTTTAAGTAAGTCAGCCGATGCGTATTTTTTATCCATTTTTGGTGCAGTCTGTTGTCCTAGAAGTAATTAAGCTTATGCTTTAAACTGCATGCATTAGAAATCTCACATTACTTCTCTACATTAAATTAAGCATATGCATTAGTATTTGCAGAGTTAGACCCTTAGGTCATTTGGAACAGGTCCCCACAGCCTGGTCCAAATGCCATTAATTAAATGGGAAAAAATGTTCAGAACAAATGCCTTTACGAAGATTTCTAGTTTGTGCTAAAGAAAATAGAGAGCTACAGGAAAATACAGCCAGAATTAGATGTTAATCTTTGGAAATTTCCCCCATGTGTTGAACTCCAAGGAGAGGTCAGTTCTCTTCATAGTGCAAAACCAGGCTGCAGAATGATCCTCCTTGTCACATGGGGAGTGAAGAGTAATGTCATCTGCAGCTGCTGAAGATTAGAGGATCCTTCCTTCAGTCATCCCACCAAGCTAAAAACATTAATATGGATGTGACTGCATGTTAGTTATGACACTTTACATGGATTTGCTAATTTCCATGTATATCACATTGAAGAAGTACAATTGTCATTGGCCCAGATCCGTAGGCTTCCTGGAAGTCCTGAAGTTCATGTGGTGAGAGCCAGACAGAGAATCCAAAAAGAACTATTCAAAATGCTCTGTATGAATAGAGAAGAGAGTGTAAGCACTTTCTTTCCAGTGAAACAATGCTAGATTGCTCTGCCCCCTGACTAATGAACATTTTTTGCCACTTAGCCACTCCTCACACAACTAATATTTTAGTGGTCTGATGCATATCCAAAGGAAATTAGTAGGAAACTGTGCTAAATTTTTTTCTTTACAAATACTTGATAGTTTTATTATGGTGTTTTCCACACAAAAATATTTTTCTGATTTGCAAATCATTTTTTTGGCTTTCCAATCTAAATTAGCTTCTTTATTTCTATGAGTGATTTTGATGTGTAATTACTTCTAGAGGTGTACAGTGGGACATTGTGTGAGGCATATAACACTGACTGTCATGAAAATGTGTACACTGTAAAATATACCAATAATGTAGCTCTTGTCCATCAAACTGAAAGTCCATTTTCAGCAGGTTTAGGAAATCAGCTTTCTATGTAGTTGACTAATAAAATGCATTATACTTTTAAAAAAGGAATGATTGTGAGTGTTAGCAGGCTGGCTACTTAGCTTTTCCCTCTTTTCAATTTTGATAGACATATTAAAGCATAATCCCCTTATTTTAATTTCTTGATATGTGATGTACTTAGGGCAGTGATACTGAATTCCTCACCTATACCTTCCCTGATTTAATATGCAGTGTGAGAATCAGAAAATAACTTCTAATCTCTGTGTCTGAACTGCTTTGCATTCCTTCGGAAATGTTCACCATTTGAAAGGCAAAAGTCTTGAGGAAGTTTGACACCACCTCGAATTCCTATACACTTAAGGTAGCATAAGGCTGTTCTTATGTGTAAAACAGCAGGACTCAGGGTAGCAGCCCTGATTTATGTCTGTTACCCTGCTGATTTTTCAGGCTTGAGGCACTTAGGGCTGTGGAGCAATTTAGTTCACATTATAGTAAGAAAAGCTGGAATCTGGAAACCATGTTGTGGGTACCTGTCCCACCATCTTTCACAAGCTGCTGTAGTGTGGCACTCACTGAAACAAGGTCCTGAACACAGCATTCCTTCACATTACCAGTACTGTCTTGGAGACAGGTTGGAAAACCCCTTACTTCCAAGAATTTGCTCTGGAGTACAGCAGGAGAAAACCCTTAGAGGAGTAGTCTGTACAGTGCACGCTGCTTAGCTCCTCTTTCCCTGTGGAATGGATCTAAAGCCCAGCAGAGCTCTGTGCTAGGACCTGCCACTTCGAATTACCCAGACCTTATTTTTATTAAATAATAAACTCTGCTGCCTTTGTACAGTTCATAGCACTTCCAACCATTACCTGTCTGGAAAAGAAAAGCCAACACAGGCGTTTTGTAGTGGGAAATAGATCGATCCTTCAGAAGAGTAAATGCAACCTGGCAGTGTTACTATATGATCCTACTATATAGGTGAGGGATAGCACACATGGGCAGTCCTGTAGAGATCAATGTTGACTATATCTGTAGTTGCTGTTGCTCACTTACAGTGAAGGCTTAAAATCAGAGTTTCATATTGCCCTAAATACAGGAAATCTACTTAAGCCTTGTTGGTTCCAGTGCTTTTCCATTTAGGATAAAATTGTCATATTTTGTATGTAGTACAAGGCTAACAATGTAGTGTTTGTATGTTATTTGCAATGCAGTAGAATATAAAATACATGTATATTTTTCAGTAGTAATGTTAATTATATCATAACCTCCATAATGCAACAATTTTATTTTGTTTGTAGGTGGAAACTTCCCACAATTTAGTGGTTTAACATGTGCAAGTGCTGTTCCACCATCCTGTGCAGTGGAGCTGTGCAGAATCAAAGCTGTTCAGATTTATGGGAGCACAGAGAGACTGTCACACTTGGAGTGGCTCAGTATTCCCACTGTCACGCAACCAGCACTGGACTCTGAGTGCAAAGAATTTCAAGCAGTTATATCTGTACTATGTGATAGTCTTCCTCTTGCTTTCAGGGGAAAAAATAGAAACAAAACCAGATTACTGTGGGTTTTTGTCTGAATTTCTGAACTCTCTTAGCTTCTCTCATATCTCTCTGTGTTCAGTGCCCCTGCTGTAATTTCCTGTCCTTCAGGGCATGGCTTTAATTTCTCCTGACAGCTAGTGAGGTTATTGACTAGAGTTCCAAAGCTAAAATTGCCAGGCATTTGCACAAGGGAATATAACAGAAGCTTGTTTGAACCTCATTTGTTCTTTGAAGAAGGATCTGTGTCGGTATCTGTCTTTTCCCTAATCACTATTCAGTCCTATGAGGGTTCCCAGTGAGCGGGAACTCCCTAGCCTTCATGTAGCCACATTCTAAACCCTGTGCTGAATTCATACTGTGTTTGCTTTCCTGTGGTCTGTAGGCATGTGTCCCCATAGTAAAGCTGGCAAAATTATGCACTTAAAAGCTGCTGCTGCTGTGAGGGGTAAGCTCTGATCAGGTCTCCTTGTTTCTCAGACAGCGGAAGGATGAGCTGGAACAGAGGATGTCTGCTCTCCAGGAAAGCCGAAGGGAGCTGATGGTTCAGTTAGAAGGCCTCATGAAACTGCTGAAGGTAAGGAACTCCACCTGGTACTACCAAGGAAAACACAAAGTAAAGCAAGAGGGAGGAGAGTAACCACAGAATTCTGCAGAACCTGACTGTTTCTACCCACACCATTTGGCTGTGTTTCCCTCCCTTTTTGTGTTTTACCTTGGTCTTTTAATTCAGGGGTTTCAGATGATGTTGTTCCCGTAGCAGCACTGCATCATCATTGTCACCTGCTGCTAGGAGAAGCAAGAAAAAGAAAAGAAACTGACACATAAAAAAAGTTAACTATTAGCTGTAAAGGAAGAAAATACCTCAGTACTGTACGCTATTATTCACTGCAGGTGACAGTATAGAATCACTAGGCTAGTTCCTTTAACTTTGCTCTGAAGTTAAAGTTTCTTTAATTTATTCAGTTGCTGGTTCTGTCGGATGAGTCATTTGACAACCACACCTACCTCTCTCAGCTCAGAGGTGCTTTCCCTACAACACTTGTTTCATTTTCACGGATGCAGAAGGAGGCCCTTGTTAAAGAGATGAAACATATCTCAAAAGAGGAGTTCAGTTAAGAACCAGGATATCAAAAAGCATGTGCATTTTTAAAGACAGGCTAGATGGAAGATGTGTTTTTATTTGCAGCCTTATTTTACCTGATGTGCTTCAGGACAGATGATGCCACAAATTCACATTGGAAGAAAGCTCCCTGAGTAGCACAGGAGTCTGTTTTGTTGTTGTCTATGGCAGCTCAAGTGATAGGATGGAAATTCTGTGCAACTTGGGTCAAATATGACTCAGATAAGAGCAGAAGGAATTTCACTGAAATCCATTTAGCAACATGCCTCCATTTAGATGCACCATGCATCCATTTAGATCCATTTGCATCAAAGGATGAGTTTGTCACTTGCCCCTCCTCAGACACAGGCTTTTCGGCCACAATGCACAAATTGGTGGCACCTCAGCAGCAGAACCCACTGAAGAGCGAGCAGATTTTTGGGAGCTGGAAGTAGGCAGGATACTTTTTGTTCTACTCATGAAATGTCACAGTGCCACAACCAGCAGTCAAGACTGCTGGCTGTTAGTAACTGCCTGGACAAAGAAAATTTGGGGTAGAAAATGACAGCAGCTTTCTGCACACTTTGCACTATTCTGGTGTTTCAAAGTATGCAGAGGTGGGACCTTGACTTGATCTCCTATCTTCAACTATCTTGAGTGCACCTTTAACCCTGTGCTCCAAATTTGGCTTTGTTTTTTGTTCTTTGCTTACATCTCATGTGCTGATTGTCTTTTTCTTTAGGAAGAAGAATTGAAACAGGTAGCAAGTTACCTTCTCTTTGGATGCCTCACTAACTCCTGAGTGTGATTGTGTTCCTGTGATTTGTGTTACTTCCTTTGCTTGAGAAGTGTGTGTGTGTGTTATTTTGACCAAAATTAATATTTTGCAGTTCTTTCCCACATTAGTGTCTTGGAGCAGTTTTCACAATGAAACATCTTAGCACTCTAGAAAGTGAGTCACGGCTACAAGGAATCTTCCTCACTCCTCTAAGTTAAAACATGTGAGGTATAGGAACCACACCTCAAATGTAGTGGCGCCAACCTAGAATATGAATTAAATAGATAAGATTTTGAAAACGTAATGAGAAATTTTGTACTTTCAAGAAAAACATAACTGAGCTTAAATTAGACAAGGGCAGTGAATTTGAAAGGTCATTTTATTCAGAAAAAGTCAGGGCATATTGTGCACATCTTTAAAAGTCGGCACTGATGCTAATAGCCCCATGAGTCTCCAGGGAAATAAATGTTTTCTGCAGCCTAGATCAAAACAGAGGAAGTATTTACATTAATAATAGTAAATTTTGGAAGATTTAATTGTTTCTGAGCTTTTCAGTATTGTAATGGATCTTGGAAATATATTAGGCTTTAAAAAAAAGGCACTTTTCAGATAGCAGTCTGATTTATGAGTTCAATAAAAGTGTTTCATTTTAACAAAACACACTTCCTCCTGCTTTCATCAGTAGAAGTGCAGTCACAAGTCTGATGTGTTCTGTCTGTGATACAGCATGCAGAGTTTGTAGGTAATTCTCATCTTCATAAAACCAGCATTTGGCTCATTTTTGTAGAGTTGCACTCAAAAAACCAAATCTGACCAAATACCATCTCTATGTAAGGGCTGTCTTTTTTCATTCTGAAGATCTATTTGCAAAAGAGAAGCTTCCAGTGTGACAGGAGTTACCTTATCATATAAAATGTTCACTGGACAGTGTAAGTGAAAGCACATTTTCAGGCTGCTATGAGGTATTTTTATGGCTTTTTTCTTTCCAAGAGTAATAGCCTCACTGAATACCAGGTGATGATGCTAAAGAATTACTCTCGCCATTTCCATTTAATGATCTCCATTATGCTATGCCATTTCATGATCTGTTGAGAGAAACAGGATTAAATTAATTTCTGGAGGAATTCAATTGGAATGAGCAGCCTGGCAATTCATCTAATGCTTATGAATATTATCTATTTCTACATTGCCCTTCCTTGAGAAAGGATAATGAGTTCTTCACATCCCTGTCGTTTGATGAGGCTGTGCAGTTTCCCCATATGTCATCCCAGTTCAGTCCCAGCAGAGGGAGCAATGGGCTAAACCTCCTGTAAAGCCGGTTTTCATTTCAAGCATTTTATGCTAAGCATGCATGACACTTTATAGTGGGGAAATTTTCCTGTCTAGCAAGAGTTAACTTAAAAGCTGTAGCAATTTGCCTAGGGTTGGTGAATTAAATAAAATACCTGAAAATATTCCTGGGAGGCATGAGAACACTGATAGCTGCAACCAAGTACTGTACAAAAGCTGAAGCCATCCAAATATCCACAGTGGCTGTGGTAGCTCCCCTTTCAGCGTGCTTTAATCCTTAGCTGGTAGAGCTGTCAAGGTTTGAGAGCAATTCAGTGCTTGTCTTCTCTGCTGACCTTACCAAGAAGTTAAGAGTGGCTGTCATAGCAGATTTCAGACTATTAGGTCCAGCCTTTAAAAACCGCAATTCTCCTGATAACCACTAAGCAGGAGTCCAATCCTAATAACGCTTCATTCCCACAAACCTGGGCTGAGATGGATCTAAACGAGTAAAATAGATTGAATTTTCACCTCTCTGAAATCAGGCATTCCCTAATATCCTCCCATTTTAACTTGCTGTTCATCAGTTCTGTCTCGTACTGCCCAAATAGTATAAAAAGTGAGGAGTTTTTTCCTGGACAAGGAACTCTGAATGCTTCATCTTCCTGTGCTTCCCAGACATTCTGTGTTTATCATAAACACAAGACCCCAGTCATAGCTGCAGAGCAGACAGAGGGTAAGCACTGGTTGTGCAGCACTTTCCACATCTCTTAAGGGAAAATTCCAGCCTAGAAGTACTGATGGGCATCTGTTATTTTTAGTAAATAAAATGCCTATTCTGAAGTTCATTCCTGAATATGACTTGATGGCAGGAAGCAAATTTTGTCCTTTTTTTCCTTGTGTTTCTCTGAAAGTTCCCACTGTTGTTGGTGTTCCCAGAACAGAGATCAAAGGCAAAAGGGAGCTACGTAAAAAAGCAAGGGAAAAAGGGCACTTGTCTTTCAGAGAGCTGAGAACCAAAAATTCCTCAGCAAATGTGTTTGAGTGAGGATGAAATGTGCTCCGTCAGGGCATGAAAGAAGAAAGCTGGAGGTCCTGGGTGCCCTGCCTGATGTGCAGGGATTATGGCTCACAAGGATCTTGGAACATCTCCAAGTTGCTCTGGGCTCTTCCACTGGAGGACTAAATACCTCCATTTCTGCTGGAGCTGGTATAGATGATTCTAGAAACAGGAGAGCATCTGGCTTTTATATATTCAATTTGCCTTTTCCATCCATCATGTAAATGTTCCAAAACCAATAATTAAAGAAATTATAAGTATTAAATCCTCCATTCTTCCATCAGTAATGTGCTTATTTCTCATAAAATTAATTTACCCTTGATGGCTTTCAGGTGATAATGTCTCTTAGAAAGGGGTGATAGGATAAAAGAAAAAATAGCTTAATACATTGTTACATTATTTATGATCCAGGTCAGGAATTTGTAAAAGTCTCAAGAACAATGCTGCACTCAACCTGCAATGGCTTGCACTTGTCTTTCTCAGAATATATTTGCCAAACATAATCAGAGCTGCAGTGGCAACCAATACAAAAGTCAAAATAAATTCCATGGGATGAATTAAGAAATCCTCTTGTATTTTTAAAATAAAGCTAAGATAAGGGAAACACCACCTCTTCAGTCACTTTTGACTGAAAACAACCAGGAGCTTGTGTTGCAGTTCCCCTTTAAAAGCACTCAAGCCACCTCCATCCTTGGCATCTGCTAAACACTGGGTTTCAAAAGCTATGTGCAGTTTGGTGTGGGTTCCAGCATTAGTTTTTTCTTACATGGCTGCACATTCCCAGGACTTTGAAACAGAGGGTGAGAAGAGTGCTGTGTCTCTTGATATCATTCACCTAGCTTCATTAGTAAAAATTACAATTTTTTTTTAAGTCTGCTTGAATTTCAGCTCAGTGATCCTAACTGTGAGGTGCTAACAGCATGACATTTATATGACTGGTGTTAAAACATTTTCACTTCCAGCAGCTGAACCCATGACAGGAATTTATATTGCCCTATCCCTACAGTGTTTTGGGAGTGTCTGAGTATGTGGAGCAGATAATTTAATAGTGGCTTAAACAGTTCTCTAGCTCCAAATAAAAAGCAGAAATGTGTGTTATTTATTGCAAGTGTCAGACTTTATGTGACTGAGAGGTTGCATGTACCATGAACTTGTCCTGCAGGCAGGGGTAGGGCAGGGCTCTGCTGGAAGGGGCTGCTCCAGTCCCTTGCCCAGGCTGAAAGCCAGGCTGGTGCCAGCAGCTTTCCCCTTCTCACAGCCAGAATGGGTTACAGTTTAGCAGACATGCATGTGAACTGGGGGAGTGAGAGGGGAGAGGGCAGAGAGCTCTGTAGTGTGGTCTTTATTAACTTGGAATTTTTTTTAATTTAGCTGCCTGACATTTTCCCATGCTTGGAGGAAGTCAGATCTTGACTCATATTTTCCTACTTACTGCTTCTCTACACAGAAGCCTTACTGTCAACTAACAACTGACTTTGGTTTATTTCTTCTAGCAAAATTAACATTACCCAACTCATCTACAAAGAGCACGATGACTTTAAGCTGAGGGATGGGTGACCAGGACAGCAGGCAGGCTCTTGCAAAGCCCCTGTTTAACCCCTTGATTGTTTTGCAGACGCAGGGGGCAGGCTCCCCACGCTCCTCGCCCAGCCACACCATCAGCCGGCCTATTCCCATGCCCATCAGGTCTGCCTCTGCCTGCTCCACCCCGACCCACGCACCTCAGGACTCTCTGACCGGGGTGGGAGGAGATGTGCAGGAAGCCTTTGCACAAAGTAAGTCTCATTAACAGCTTGTTTGAGGCACCTGGAGACTGAGGAATCATTATTTCTTGTGGTTACTGACTTTGTGTACTTGAGCTTCTGAGTTAGTGCAACAAAACAAAAAAAACCCCAAAATATATCTGTGACAACTGCATTTTGCCATTGAAAATCAACTTTGTCAGCCATTAAAGCAAGATGTCAAAGCAAGCAGGTAAGCAGAAACTGGACAATGATGCCAATTAATGGAGCTTGGGGTAAGAAGGAATTTTGATGCAAGAGGGTGAGAGCAGTTATCACTGCTCTGTTAAACAGAAAAATTGATATTGACCTCAGCAGGCATTGTCAGTGTGTTTTAAATAAAGACTTTGCTAGAAGTAAATGATACAATCATAGAATTAGTTCAGGTGGAAAGGGCTTTTGTAAGTCACTGTGTCCTTCTGCCCCAAGAAAGAGGGCTTCAAAGTGAGATCAAGCCATTCAGGACCTTTACCAGCTGAGTTCTGGATGGCTCCTGTCACTCATTTTTTCTGTTGTAGTGTTTCACCATCCTTATTGTGTAAATTCCTTGTCCTTCTATCTGATTGGAACATCCCTAGATGCAACTTGTGACTGTTGTCCCTTGTCTTTTTGCTTTGGGCCTGAGAAGGGTCCAGTTAGACTAGAAAGATATCAAGTCTGAAAGTCTAGGTGAACCCTCTCCTTGCATTTCCAGAAAACTGTCATCGCCTTCTCACTTTTTTCAAGTAAGAATAAATTTTAAAGTGTTTTGAGTTTCTCATGCCATTCCTTGCATTTCCAGAAAACTGTTATCGCCTTCTCACTCTTTTTTTCAAGTAAGAATAAATTTTAAAGTGTTTTGAGTTTCTCATGCCACAAATTAAATTATTGTGTTGAATAACACAGAAAGCGAGTAGTCCGTGTTATATAATTGAGGAAATATTCCTTATTTTTTTAATCTGCTCTCTCTCAAATATTTGCAATTCCACGATCTCAATAAGTTTTTTCCCCCTTACCCCAGCACAAATTAAACATAAGTTTAAATGTAAGCTCGGAAGTTCCTCTGCTACAGTGGGAGCGTGCTTCTTCTCAGGAACCCAGTTTAGCCCTCTCATGCACCCTTTCCCCTTGATTTTCCTGTGAATTGTGTCTGTGTGTATTTTTGGACAAGGTTGAGTCTGTAATGCAGTCAAGAACTTTCTCCTAAAGCACTGGTCAATTCAAGTATTGAACATAGGCATAATTCCTGGTCCCAACAGAACGTGTTACTGCTAATCTCATTTTCTGTGGCAAAAGAAAAGTAGGCAATATGTTTTCCTTTTTTTCTGCTATGAGAAAAATCAAGACAGGCAAAAATATGGAGCCCTAGCTCCTATGCTGTTATGGGACAGCTTCTTCTAGAGAGAGAGTAAGATAAATAATATAGTGGCCACAATAAAATATCCATAAACAATGCTAAGTCTCCCTCAGGCAAATGCATTTTAAGTGTAAAAACATGTTCTGTTCAAGACGAAAAGCAATATAAGAAGTTATGTGATCACATTTTAAAACTGCTGCATTTGATAAATACCTAGGTTTGTGTCATTAGTTACTGTAAGCTCTAGATAGGAAGGTCAAACCCAAAGAACTTGAAGCCAGCATTCTGTCACATCTTGACATATGACTTTGTGAGGGGGGTTGGGCTGAGATTTTATGGCTCCATTCTCTGCTGCACCAACTGAGATCTGCCTATATACACATAATGCAGACAAGCCATGGTTAAAGGACATTTTCTCTTCATTTTTTCCGTTTCTCTTTCACAGCATTTCCAATAGTTCAGAGGCATAAATTTGGGAAGACTTTAGAGAGGGAGTGGTTGTCTGTGTGTGTGTAAGAGAGTTTAACTACTGTAATTTACATTCCAGTAACTATTTGCTAATGGATACATTAAAAAAAAAAAAACCTCTTCAGGATCTGAGAAAATTTTTTAAATGTATTGGTTTGCATTCAGCAGTTTTAAAAAATCTACAGTAGCTAGTTCCTGTAATTATTCCATTTGGAAGACTAGTGATTCTGTGGAATATATTGATTATTCAGCTATTCAACAATAGTATCTGTGTTTGGGGTTTGAGGGAGTTAAGCACACGTTACCCACAGACCCCTCCTAAGGAAGGAGTATTCTGCAGCTCACAAGAATCTCTCATGATTGATGGTTATGGGAATATTGCCAGGTTCAGCAGGGAAACACTTCTAGATGCATTATTAGAAAGAGTTTAAAAGCAGCCTGGGGCTGTTTAGAGAGGCAGTAGAGCTTCCTTTATTAAAAAAAACAAGGGGGGGCTGGGTGGGGAGAGAGACAGAGAAAGTAAATTATAGAATATACAAGAAAGTCCTTGAGCTACAGGAGAGGCTGAGAGGGAGAAGAGAAATCCATACAGTCTTGATGAGGGATGAGGTCAAGTGTGTTTCTTCAACATTTGCCATAATTATCTGGCAAATATCTGGCAATAATGGTGTCATTAAACTGAGCTGTGGGAACTTAGAGAAAACACTTCATTTCTTCCCTCCTCCCCCACAGGCACTGTAAATGAGTTCACGCTGGATTTAATCTTCCAGGCCTGGTCTGCTGGTGTCACCACACAAATGCAAGCTTGATGGCAATGAATAATCTCCACATATCTGGCATTGTGATTAAATGAAGCATGAGGATAGGCTTCTGCTTTTGCATACAGCATAAGTAAATGAGGCCATTCTGCAGAGAACTCCTCTGCACGTGCCCCTCACAAGGACTTTGGTACCCTGAATTATCACAGTGACAGCTTTCAGCGGGGTCAAAACTGCTTTCAACAGTAAGACATATGTTGTGTGAATAATAGTAACATGTGCTTTGTCCATCTCTTGCTTCAGGTGCAAGACGAAACTTAAGAAATGATTTGCTGGTGGCAGCAGATTCAATCACCAACACCATGTCTTCTTTGGTAAAAGAACTAAATTCTGGTGAGTGAGGCTTACAATGGGGAATAGTCACCACAGTGACAATTTCACGTTTGTATGAAAAAAGTGGGTGGTAGAAAGATACATGTCTTCAAAGCTTTTTATGCTTTTGTTAAAAAAAATCCTTAAGTAACAGCTTCTGGAACTCAGCAGTTCTAAAGTCATGGATGTAGAGATGCAGCTGGATACAGTGAAAAATTTGTCTGTGATTCCACATGGAGTGGAATTTCACTCTTTAGAAATTAGATTTAGCATAGATCATACAGGACCTGTTGTAAAATGAAGTCTGTAGTATTATCTACCATTAAAATATCCTACCTAATAACTGAGATAAGCAAAAGTTCAATATTTGGTCCAAGAAGAAAACTATAAGCTTTGCCAATATAAGTAAAATAATATGCTTTTAATCACTATGAGGAGGTGGCATTCTCGGTTGGAAAGGCAAAGAAGTGCTTAAAGAAATAGGCATGTGTACTTTTGTGGAAGTTAAATGGGACGTTTTGCTTCACAGAAGTGGGCAGCGAGACAGAGAGCAATGTGGATTCTGAGTTTGGCCGGGCTCATTTTGATGATCTGGTTCCATCCCCCACGTCTGAGAAGGCTTTCCTGGCACAGATCCACGCCCGGAAGCCAGGGTACATCCACAGCGCTGCTGCCACCGGCTCCATCCGCAGTGACATGTGGGTACCTGCCTGACACCCCTTCCTGATCTCATTCTTCTTCCTCTGAAAACAGTGTGCAGCACACAGTATTTCCTCTCCCTCTCAGTTGTTTTGGGGAAAAAAAAGCATAAATCCAAGTGAGGACTGCTTCATGGTTACATAGTAGTGGGCTCTGTAAACAATAAAGCCTCAGGAGTGAGCTGTCTCACATCCAGCCTGGAACACTCAGGCAGCATGGAGGCTCTGGGACAGCAGTTTTCCTAAACATGCCCTGCAGTCCTATTCCCTGTTTATCCAGACTAAGGGACCTGTTGGGGCTCACTTGGAAAAGGAGAAATGTGTAAATGGAAAAGACAGAATGCTTTTCATTGACCTACTCAATTGATGAACAAACAGATTGACTTTTACAACCTGAACCTTTTTTTCAGAGATAATAGGCATCTTTCTAGTTATTTTTAGTTCAGCCTCTCTGTATGAAGTTATTGAGTACTTTTGTTACTCATTTCCTTAGGGGAGTGCCTTCAGCAGAATATGCCCTTTGGTGTACTTCATGAGAGAGGGAAATAACAGAAATGTTCTCCACTGCCAGGAAAATACTAACTAGTGGAGCATGTGGTTAGACTAAAAGTATCCCACAGTCCTCATAGATTACAATAAAGGGAAGTTTTATTGACTCTGAATGTCATTCATCTGAGGAGTCTATTTATTAATAATTGTCTTTAGGGTTACAGAAGATGGAGACCCTTATGTCAGAGCAGATGATGAAAACTACGAGAATGACTCTGTCCGCCAGCTGGAGAATGAACTGAAAATGGAGGAGTACCTGAAGCAGAAGCTGCAGGATGAGGCGTACCAGGTGGGAGAAGGACACCAACTGCCCATGTTTCTCCATAAGTGAGAAAGGATGATGGCCCTTAGGTGCCCAGGGCCATCTAACCAATCCTGGGCTCTGGGGTGTGATCTCTTCTGGATTATCAGAGGAGCCACATTCCAAAAACTGCTGCCACTCTTACACAGACACACATGCCTTCAGCCTTTGTGGATATGTTATCAGAGGAGCCACACTCCAAAAACTGCTGCCACCCTTAACAGACACACATGCCTTCAGCCTTTGTGGATATTCAAGAAGACCAGACTGCCTGAGGCACACAGCAGTGGTCCATAAGGGTACCAGGGAACCAGGTGGGACAGAACTGCCTCTGAGATTGTTCTCTGCCCATGCCTACCAAGTCACTTAGAGCTCAGTCTCCACTACCATAGATGCTGGTTGGTGGTGTCAAGATGTTCTGCTATTCTCATATATTTTTTTTTTCTCCAATAGCAAGAAACATTCGTAAGGGTTTCTCCAGTGTGAGCTGAAGTGTCAAGATGTTCTGCTATTTTCATATCTTTTTTTTTTTCTCCAATAGCAAGAAACATTCGTAAGCGTTTCTCCAGTGTGAGCTGAAGCTCAGGTGTAGTCTGTGTGTTGCTGTTATTGTCAGAATCTGGAGGTACAGAAAAGGGTCTGGAATTAATTGTATCTCAGAGAACCAAGTATTCAACAAGCATCTGGTGCTGAGAAGCCTGGGGATTTGTTATTAAATACCTCCCTGAGGAAGCTCTCAAAGGGTGTTTGTTTAAGAGTCTGAGCAAAGCAAATATGTCAGGGGGAGCTGAAATTCTGAAGATGCCCATATTTACATCATGGTCTCCACTTCTACCTGGTGTTCTGATCTGGTGTTGCAGATGATTGCCATGTTTTCAGTTATTCTGACTTGGAATATCTGAATTTAAAATACATTGCTTCTTATAAATTTAGAAGTAGTGTCAGTAGGAGAGAAAACCTAGTTCAGTTATTTGGGAGCAGAGCTGAAGCAAGCAAAAATAACTTTGTTTCCACATGGCAATTGGCTCAACTTTGGACCTCGCTCCTAAAGAACATATTAAATGGGGTATAAAAACCAAATTAGACACGTTCTGAGAGACCAGATGTCTGCAAATGTGGTTCAGAATCACTTTATGGGCAGCAATTCTTTATACTGTTGATTTCTAGGAACTAATAAAATCTAGCCTTCTTTTCTGGTAATTTTCCTCTACTGTTCAGTGCTGGTCACTTTGGAGACAATGACAGGTTTGTGTTGTAATGAAGATTGGCTGCTCTTTTGGTCTTCTTTCCTGTAAAGCTGCTAGGATATGTTAGTCTTGTAAAAGCTCATTGAGTCTTGTCAAAATTTGAGGTAGCTTTAAGGTTGATGTGAACATCTTGATGTTGTTGTTGTTATTGATGTAGATCTGCTACATGCCCATAGTAGGTTGCCAAAAGTCATTTCATTGCAGAGGTCTTTAATGACATAACAAAAGGAGCAGGATTGTTATAGATCATTTACTAAGGCAACAGCAGGTGACGTAGGGGGAATTGTCAGAACTTTTTATCCAAGACAGGAATTGTCAAAAATCACAGCCTTCAAACTTCTGAACAGGATGAACAGCTACTGCTGATGTAATGAAACGTAGTTGTCAGTTTAGAGAAGGGGTGCCTAAATAGTCACAGCTGTCAGGCATCAAATAATAAATGTTATTCTTGCTGGTAAAAATTTCCTGTTCTTCAGAAAGAACAACAGAGCAGTTTGACTGTATTTTGATTACAATGTGGAAGTGCAATATATGGCAGTAGTTTTACTTGAGTTTCACTAGTTACAACAGGATTTTGTACGTGCATAAAATTCAGTATGTATGCGCACTGCAAATAAGGGCAGGAGAAGTTATGCATGTCACTTGATGGCACTGGGTGTTACTCTTGCTGTAGTCAAAATAGTTTTTCTGCTGTATTCCACCAACGTTCCCAGGAGAAAGGGAGGAAATCTTCTCCCTATTAACATCAGAATAAAACTCCTGAACTTAGGTGAGCCGAGACTACACACAAGTGAAATTTATTCCCCATTGTTTTACATTATTTCTTTCCACCAAGGGACAAAAACAGACAAAAAACCCAACACACACACACACCCTCCCCTACCCAAAAAAAAGGAAAAGCTTTTTCTTTGTCAAAAATTATATTCACTGAGGCAACAGAAAGTCCTCATTCTAGACAAGTTCTGCTTAACAGCATTTTTTTGAGAAGAAGTTTCATTATGTACTTTACTGTCTATGAGATTGTCAACTTCCTATCAGGCAGTGATTTGACAGTAGTGACTTGTAAGTAGAATCTATTTTTAGTTGCTACCACAGCCCCAAAGTGTGTAATGGCAATGCATGAGAAGTCCTCCCCAGTATGGGTGATGCCATTTAAATTAAGGAATGGGTTTAAAGGAAGCAAGAAAAGGTATTAAGTTAATAGGGACTACTAAGATGATTAGCAGCTGGTTGGAGACATATATAATCATATATTGACCCCAAGACATGTGCTTTGGCATTGGTTGTTCTCTGAAATTTGCTGTTTATTTTTGGTATTTGACTCTTCTATCCCTTTTTCTGCTATTATCACTGAGTATTCTAAAAAAGCCACAGCTTACTACATGGAAAAACAAAGGAAAATTTCTGTTTAGGGTATCCTGTTGAACAGAGGCCAGGTCAACTATTCTCATTTGCATCAAACCATTGGAATTTATTACAAGCTGTTTTACTGTTTGTACTCACATATACACTGCATTCATCTGGATTGCCAAAGAAAGCCAGAAGCTGTAGCTATCGTAATGCAATTGTCAGCTGAAAAAGTCTGCAAGAAGGAACTCCTACTAAGGGTGCAGAATGGTCACCTCAGTAACAATCTGGTAACCATTTTTGTGTTATTAAATCTCTCACTTTGTGTAAAATCAGCACATTTAGAAAAACATGTAGATGTAGTGTAGCATGAAAGATGGTTGGCCCAATCCCACTCTTGTTGTTTTGTGTCACCTTGTGTCCAAGAAAGATTTTTGTGCTGAACTCTAAATTAGTGTAAAAAAGCCAAGATACATAGGGAAATCAGGGACATGAAACCTTAGAGGAGCTTTCTTTCTCTCTTCTTTTTTTTTTAAAGCATGTTGTAAATAACAAGTATCTATCAGAAAAAAATCCAAACACATTTAATGCACAAGTGTAAATGCTAACAGTGTGTGTCCTCCCACATCTGTTTCCACTTTTGTTCTTGGTACAGTCTTTTGCTGATATGTTGTGTAAGACAGTTTTAACTGGGTTTATTTTCTGGGTCCCTAATTGCTCCCTTTATTTCTAGGCTTGTGCATGGCTTTTTTCAGAATAATACACTGCCTGGCTGCTCACGGGCTTAATTTGTCATCTTCCTGTTTTCTGTCCTTTGTTATCTACAGGTCAGTTTGCAAAGTTGAGTGCAATATTCTTCTCTCTCCTCTCAAGTAAGTATTATTATAATTTAGAAGAAAGTTTGGAATTAATCCTCATAATATACATTTCAGTTGCAATGCATCTTGTGGCATGTGAATGTATGTGACAATGCTGTTTCTTTCTCCTTTTAATCTGTGTTAGGATGCCTCGGAATCTCTCTGAATCAGTTCTAACTTATAGATCTGTAGTCTTAGTCCCAAGGATTCCTGTTAAGCCATCATACTTTTTATGTTTTTCCTTTATTGACCATCAGAGTGAGAACGTGGGCTTTTCATCCCTGGGGATGATGACAAGTACATTAACCAGTACAGAGAAGCCTTGTCCAGGAGATAAGGAATCAGATTACATTTCAAGAGACCTGACTTTAATTCCATTCAATGCTTTAGTCTTCCTAGGATAACTGAAATAAATAATTTCTGATGAGATCAGAGCATCTACTCCAGTGAGTGAAACAAGACTTACGCAAACACTGAAGGAAGCAATCCACCAGCTGCTTAACCACAGAGATGTCCTCAGATGTGTTGTGGAAGTTTAAAAAGCCTCAAAAAGTGGAAGGCACTCAGCTACTGGATAGAAGCTGGCAGTTCAGAAATATGGCAAGATCTATAAGTTTCCTGCTGTCCTATTGATGGCTTAGGATTTTAGCTTCTATATTTTTCATATATTTGTAATCCTGCAGTTCTTTAGTGTGTAACTCTAAACTCCATATAGAGTGTTAGCTATTGTCTTCCCATTTTGAAGATACACAGCATGATACACGGGCTGCAAACTACTGATTGGAAATACAGTAAAAGGAATCAAGAAGTTCAAATGTCCACAAAGTCACTGTATCATTTTGGTCAGACAAAACAATTCCTCTCTAGGCCTGGGAATCAAGGACACTTTACTGTCTCAGGCCCCAACAGATGGAAGCAAAAGTTGAGGCTGAGCAAACTTGGGGTAAATAACTTCATTACTTGAAGCTGTAACTGGAAGATTAACTCCCAATTTGCAAATGGACCAAACTTATAAAAGTGTGAAAACTCATGACCTGTCATCCATTTTTTGGGTGTAGCCCCTGGGGCTTAATCTGCCTGAAATGTACCTGAAGGCCCTTCAGTAAATATCACTTGAAGCTATAACTGGAAGATTAACTCCCAATTTGCAAATGGACCAAACCTATAAAAGTGTGAAAACTCATGACCTAGACCCATTTTTTGGGTGTAGCCCCTGGGGGGCTTAATCTGCCTGAAATCTACCTGAAGGCCCTTCAATAAATATAACAGCTTTTTATTCCCTTAATTTTGTCTGATGTCTGTTTTTAGGTAGCCTCAACAAGGCATCACTGTACTGAGGTCATGTTCCTTACACATGCCAACCTCACAGTTGCAGCACTGAGGTTACTGCCAAGTTCAGCAATTGTGTTTTTCCTCAGGAAGACAGATAACATGTATTTTTATGAAGTAGCCTGTAACTCTTGAACATTTGCCCAGGAAATGGGAGACCACACATTTCGTCTTGCCTCATTTGAAGCCATGGATTCTGTATTTCTGG